GAAGAGGCTAGCGTCTGAGATACAGGCTCGGCCTAGTTCAGACGTTAGTATACCTAAACAAAGATTGTGCTAATTATATAGTTTAAAAATAAATGTCTTGTAACCCTTTTGTATTTACGTCAATAAAGGTATTATTATTATTATTATTTTCATTCAATTCTCCCATTGCTGGGGCTTATTTTTCTCTAACGCGGACGTTAGTCAAACGTTAGAGAGGTGATATAAATTTTTTATCTATTACTGCATTGCTAAGAATTTTCTAACAATGCGACAAGTGTTGAGAATAACAGCTTTTTGTAGCTGAATATAAATGAGTGGGTGAAGATTGAGTTGTTTGAGACTGGTGTGTAGCGTGACTGGTATGACTCCAGTGGTTGAAAGAATGATTGGTATTGTTTTTACTGTGTTTATATGCCATTGTGTTTTGAGCTCTATTGATAAATCTCTATATTTTGTAATTTTATCAGTGTATGTGGTTGCCAGGTTATGTGTATTTGGTATCCCAATATCAATAAGGTAAACTATTTTATTTTTCTTATCAAGCAGTGTTATGTCTGGGCGATTATGATGAATTGTTCTATCTGTGATTATGGTTCTATCCCAGTAAAGTTTATGATCAGCTGTATCTATTACTGCTAGTGGTTTATATTTATAATATGGTACGCTTTCATTAATAAGTTTAAATTTTCTAGCTAAATATTGGTGGATAATGTATGCAACCTGATCATGTCGATGCTTATAATCTGTTTGAGTTATTGATTTGCAAGCACCTGTAATGTGTTGTATAGTTTCACTGGCACTGTAACAATGTCGGCATATATCTGATTGAGTATCGTGAATGATATGTTTTTTATAATTTCGTGTCTCTATAACTTGGTCTTGTATGGCTAGCATAAATCCTTCCGTTTCAGGAAACAATTCACCTTTCGTCAACCAGGCGTTTGACGCTGTCTTGTCAACAATTGGATTAATCAGATCCCGACGATGTCTTCCATGAAGCGATTTTGCTAGCCATACTTCTAACTTTTCTTGAGGTTGTGTCACAAGTTCATTTGGTTGTGTCGAAGGATCACTAAGATTTAATGGTGTTAATTTGCAATCTAATTCTGTAATTATTTTATGAAGTGGTGAATGTTGTGAACGAGTGTGGAAAAATGATCTGAGTGAATGTATCTGCTTATTATGAAGATTTTTAATATCTATTATTCCTCTTCCTCCTTCACATTTAGGTAGAGTGAGTCTTTGTATGCACGAGCGAGGATGGTGTTTCCTGTACTTTGTCATGAGTGTGTTGATAGTACGCTGATGTTTGTGTAAATCTGTTTTCGACCACTTAATAATTCCAAAAGAGTAAGTTAGTATTGGGACTGCATATGTATTAATAGCTTTTATGATGTTGAGAGAGTTTAAATGCGTGTTTAAAATTTTATGTAATCTTATCTTAAATTTTTCACATATCTGTAATTTAGTTTGTTTTTGATGTATTTGTTGGGTCTGTTGATATCCTAAATATTTATAACCATTTTCATCATCTACCGGATCAATAAGTTCTCCTGTCCGTAACTGGTAATTATTGTGTTCTATATGTCCACCTCGTACTGATTGTACCCTACATTTATCTATACCGAATCTCATTTGAATGTCAGTGGAAAACAATTCTGTAATATCTGTAAGTATTTTTAAGTTTATATGACTAGATGCGTAAAGTTTTATGTCGTCCATGTACATAAGATGTGATAGAGTATATTGGGTGTCTTTATGCGTGATTTTATATCCTTTGCCACTCTTATTTAACATTAGTGATAAGGGATTTAGAGAAAGGCAAAACCAGAGGGGACTAAGCGAATCTCCCTGAAATATCCCTCTGCGTATATGTATTGGTTCTGTTTCAATTGAGTTTATTAGATTAGTGATTTTTAATTGGGTAGTCCAGTTTTGCATATTATTTTTTAAAAAATTTATAATAATTGGGTGTATTTTATGTATTTCTAAGGTTTGGATAAGCCATGTATGTGGGACTGAATCGAAAGCCTTCTGATAATCAATATACATAGTATATATATTTCTTTTCTTCTTGATTGCCTGTTTTGATATTACGGAATCAATTATAAGTTGCTCTTTACAGCCCTGACTATTGCGGCGACATCCTTTTTGCTGTTCAACTATTATATTATTGCTATCAATATGTTTGTAAATTTGTTCTGTGATACAAGATGTTATGATTTTATATATGGTCTGTAAACAAGTGATTGGTCTATATTTACCTGGGTTACGTTTATCGGTGTGATCTTTAGGAAGCATGTATGTAATACCTTGTGTGACGAACAAAGGCAGCGTGTTTGGTGATTTTATAAAGTTATTTATGTGAAATAGTAGATATGTATGGATAGAAGTTAACTTTTTGTACCAATAATTGTGTATTCGATCAGTTCCAGTAGCTTTCCAGTTATGAGTTTTTGTAATAACATATTTTAATAGATCTATACTTACTTCTTCAAATTTCATTTCAGTTACATGTTCATGTAAATATTGTGTTTGCTCATCAACCCATTGGCTTTTCGTATGTTCAACCGGATTAGACCATATAGATGACCAATACTTATGTAAATCTTCTGGGGTAGGCGAATCAGCTGTGTTTAGATTATGTTGAGTATTATCGTTAAGATTTTTCTGTGATAAATTTCTATAGAATGTTTTTTCATTGGATTTAAATTTCTTATTTTGCGATTTTCTTAAGGTGGTTTGTTTGTATCTACGTAAACGGCTTGCTAGAGCACTAAGTTTTTGTTTAAGTGTATCTAAAAATTCTGTGAGTGTAGAGTTTTCTATTTCATGGCGTGTGTGTATTTTATAATTCGACTTTATTTTATTGATATGTTTTTTAAGTATTTCACTACGATTACCTTGAATATAATCAGTGAGCCGGCCAATTTTTACTCTTAAATCATTTATTCTATTTTCTAATCGCTGTTGCCATTTCGGAGTATTTTGAGTTGATGTTTTTCTTTCCTTGGAATATGAGATTTTGGACCCATTAAACAAAGAAGCTGTCACTGCTGCGCAGTATATTTGAGTGTGTAGTGTTTGAAAATTATTATTATAATTAATATGTTTCGGTAATATTATAGAATTTATATATTCAACTATTGCCGTAAATTTTTTGGTACATTTTTGTTTTGGAATATAAGGTCTCTCAGTGCAAGGTGTATTTATAAATTCTGTGTAAGTATTAGAGAAAATAGAATTTAATAGAGTTTTATCTTCTTCCGAAAGTTTATATTTTACGTTGTTTGGCCCAGTGTCGCTGAATGTTATGTCATCATTTATGATATTTGTATCATTAATCGTTAAGGATTGCGCCGATTCAGCAGTATTTAATGCTATGGTTGTATCTTCAGCTGCAGAAAGCATGATCGGTTCAGTAAAATTTTGAGTTTCTATTGTTGTACTATTGTTATCATTAATTATAAGCGCTATCTCATTTTTTATTTCTTCAAGCCTTTCTAAATTAATCAATTTATTTTTTACTATAACGTTTCGCTGGTCAGCTATTCTTTGGACTGAAACATCGGCTAAGTCTGGGAATATTTCTATAACTTCCTGGTGAAGTAGTGTTCTATATCCGGTCATATTTTTTTCGAGTTTAGTTATCCTATAGTAGCATTTCATTATTGTTTCATTAATATTATCTGTCCATCTCCTTCGTTGATTTTGTGTTTGAGAAGAATCTATTTGAATGGGTATGTCTAAATGATTTTGATTTCGAAGAAGTTTTTGGACTTCATCTCTAATTTCTTGTATTTTAGTGGTACTCAGTAGATTGTTTCTCATAATTGCTCTACGTTGGTCACCTACTCTTTGTTTGGAAGCTTGCATATGAGGAAATTGTTCAGTAAATTTTTCGTGTAATGGTGTAAGGTATGTATTTAATTCCGTTTCTTTATTATTATTATTATTATGGGGTCTGGTTATACACGCTTATAAGTTATCTATACAGATAATTCAAATTGAAGTGTCTGTTTGTAATGTCAAAATAACAGCGTTTTACTAAATGCATATGAAATTATATACGGTACCTACGTATAAGAAAAACACTTTTTTTTAATTTGTCTGTATCTGTTTGTCTGTCAGTTTGTTCCGGATAATCTTTGAAACGGCTGGACTTATTTTGACAGGACTTTCACTGGAAGATAGATAATGTTATAGGGAGTACCTAACATAGACATAACTTTTATTTTAGAAAAAGAAATAGGGTTCCATTCAAAAAAATTAAATCGTACCCAGGGATGCACCCGAGCGAAGCGAGGGTGAGTCGCTAGTAGTAACTAATACACAAGTAGACTTATACGTTTTGTGTATCCACCTAATTAGAATATTTTTGCGTTGAAATGAAAATTAATCTTATTCAATTAGGCTTAGTCAAGCACTTTTGAAGAATAAACTTCTAATTCAGTTTTAACTAATAAAAATAAACAGCCGCAACTTAATATAATGTAATTTAATTTTAAAAATTATAAAAAGCATTCATATCTACTCCAAAGAATATTTTTGTTAAAGCGCCATCTATGTTTTGTTAAAAGAAGCAAAAGAAAATTCAAGTTTATAGTTTCCCTTGTGTTATATGCAAGTAAGTTCTAAAGTAGTACATTTGATGGTGTTTAAAATATTTTGATATTTCATAACAACATTGAAATTTATTTAAATAATTGTCGATAATAATTATAAAATTATTGAGAAAAATATTTTGACATTAGTATTAAATATTATTCAGTGGGCACACCTGCAGGGAGCTGGCTACATTCTCGCTGTCTCCGAATCAGCAAGTATGTAAATGTCATTTTTATATCTAATTTACAAGATTTTAGCATTAACGGTCGCAAACGTTTATGTTGTAAAATTGTGAAATTCAAAAAAAAAGTGCTATTAATATTTCCTTCGAGATGAATGTATTAGGCAGTCATAACCTCATCGTGCACATCACGTAACATCTAGAGGCTCCGATGGTTAGGAAGACGATGGTGCTGAGCACGGAGTGGGCGCAGGTGGAAGTGGTTGAGCTTACAAATGATGGCAACGGACTAGGATTCAATTTAGTTGGTGGTAGAAGCACGGGCGTGGTAATAAAATACGTTTTGCCCGGTGGGATCGCGGACAAAGACGGCCGATTACAGAGCGGGGATCACGTGCTGCAGGTAGGATCGGTCAACCTCCGTGGATTTACGTCTGAACAAGTGGCTGCAGTACTGCGGCAGGCGGGGCCTACGGTGCGATTATTAGTCGCAAGACCAGCTGACCCTGCAACTGCCCTTCGAGCCCCCCTCCCAGGCACCGCACTCGTGCCTACCAAACTGCTCGCTGATCCTGAGCTTCTTGACCGCCACCTAATAGAAACCGGATATGGTGCTGTATATGACTTGTCTCAGTGTTATAGTGAATATATCAGTGGGCAAAATGGAGATGTCGAAAACCTAGTGGCAGCTGTTAGTGTAATTGGTGAAAATCCTCAACAGATCCCAGAACACCCTATAATAGCTGACTCTTTATCCCCTACTATAACTATAACTGTACCTGTTGAAATACCCGCTTTACCTGAAGTAGAAATAGTGCATGTAGACTTAAATAAAAATGTATATGGATTAGGTATTACAGTAGCGGGGTATGTTTGTGAAAAAGAGGAATTATCAGGAATATTTGTAAAGAGTATAATAGAAGGTAGCAGTGCCGAGCAGAGTGGGAAAATTAGGATAAATGATAGAATAATTGAAGTAGATGGTGTATCGTTAGCTGATAAAAGCAATCCTCAGGCTGTGGAAATATTAAGAAATACTGGAATATCTGTACATTTAGTTTTAGAAAGATATTTAAGAGGTCCTAAATTTGAGCACCTTCAGCTAGCTATATTTAACGAGGAGAGACCAACATCACCTTCCCCTTCAGCAACAACCCTAACATGGTTTCCAGTGCCTTCCCAAGCTGATAACAGTACAGTAGAAATTGAACCCGAGCCTGAGTCAAACACAACTATAGACTCAAGTGTATTAGAAGTTGGAGAAAACGAAATTGATGAGCCAACTCAAGAAGAACTAGATAAAAGGCTTGATGCTATACTTGCAATTAATGAAGAAGAAATAAAAAAGAAATGGGAAGCTGAGATAGGATCTGAAAAAGAAATATTAGTAGCTGAAGTTCACAAGCTTTCAGGTTTAGGGATAAGCTTAGAAGGAACTGTTGATGTGGAAGGAGGACAAGAAGTAAGGCCACATCATTACATAAGATCTGTATTGCCTGAGGGCCCAGTTGGGCAGCAGGGTACACTCACTGCTGGAGATGAATTGCTCGAAGTAAATGAATATAGACTACATGGACTTACTCACACCGAAGTAGTCAATATATTAAAGCAGCTACCAAATCGTGTACGTTTAGTTTGTGCACGTAGCAGTACAGATGGTGGGCCAAGACCTGTTATAAATTTAGCACAAGATAGAGAAGGTTTTGAGGCTCGAAAAATAATATCGGGTAGCCTTAATAATCTCACTACTCTAGTAAAAGCTCAGTCTGATACATCAATAAATACATCAAGTACAGCAACCCTGACTAATCATTCTGGACAGTCCAAAAAATCTAAGTCACTAGAGTGTGTATCTGGTCTAGCAATGTGGCAAAGCAAGGAGGATATTGTGGAGCTTATCAAAGCAGATCAGGGCCTTGGTTTTTCTATTCTTGATTATCAAGATCCAATAGATCCCAATGGCACTGTTATTGTTGTGCGAAGCTTAGTACCTGGGGGTGTAGCTGAGAAAAATGGTGAAATATCACCTGGGGATAGAGTAATGTCAGTAAATGGGGCAAGTATTAAAAATGCTACCCTGGACCAAGCAGTTCAAGCTTTAAAGGGGGCTCCGAGAGGTGTTGTTAAAGTTGGGATAGCCAGACCTCTATCATCAAATGAAAATTCGAAATCAAAAAGCACCACAACTTTAAATACTAAGGCGAGCTAATCTTTAATGTAAATTATTTTTCTGTGTTACCACTAGTCAAAGTTAAAACCATATCTGTACGCTTAGTAAGAAACTACCCTTTGCATTTAGAATGCAAAGTTTAAGTACATAGACTAAGTAAAGCCTAAGTTTAACACTAAATCCAGTTTTAGGGAGCTATTGCACCTGTGAATTATGTAGATTAGTCTGCCATTATCGTAACAAATATTGAAATGGAGCTCAAAATCAGTAAACAATAAACTTACGCTTTATTAGATAGTCATGTATGTGTTTTAGATCACAGTCCTTTTGTATCGCACTGTTTTTACATTAACATATAGTAGGAAATCACATACATATTGTATTTCTCACTTCTATGTATACTATCAAAGTTTCATAAAATTTAGATCAAGTAGGCAATCTAAAAGCTGCATCTTTACCATGGAGTTATTTTATTTATATTATTTTCATGTAACACCAGTAAATATTTATATCTATTTTATGATAACTATTTTATTTATGATGTCTATATACAAAAACTTAATAAAAATCATGTAATAAATACATTACAGCAAAATTAATAAATCAAAGTAACAATCTAATAAATATTAAATAACAAAAATATACTGAAAGAGTAAGTTATAACCATCTTTATTCTAAAAAATGACATTAACACATTTTATGTATCACCTAGATTTAGATATAGAATTTAACACGAATCTCGTAGATTTTAACCTAAGGGAGCAATTAAAAAATATTAAATGTTTGTAAATAAAAGAATTGGTATTTCAAATATATACCTATACATAATAATTGCATGACAAAAATTATGGAAAAATTAATTTTTCAGACATAGCTAGCTGTTTTATATAAAGTACACTTAATTTTAAAATGAACACAAGGAACAATGGCTCTCCTTATATTATAATGATTGCAACACAGATAGATTTTCAATCAGAATAAAAATTAAAAACATACTGTCTAAAATATGTTAGATTATTTTATTTAGATCTGAGAGCATATTAATTATCCTTTATTTCTTATAAGGTTTAATGTACTACCTATATTTGTGATTATTATAGTATTTTATTTATTCAGTATTATTTTCATGTATTATTTCGAACAGATAAAACTAATTATTTCTATTTTGTTTGTTGTTAGTGGAAAACAATGTAACCTAAACGTTTCCCATTTGTTTATTAGTTATTGCACTGATAAATCGTAAAGCTTATAGCTACATTCTGTTACCAAATTAACATTTTTTTTTTATTTAAACAAAATGTTTGGTCCAAATCTTGCCTATTCTGCCATTGAAAGCTTTATTTATCTATGGTTTTAATCTTATTGGAATTTAAATTGAAAACTATTGGAGCACTTCTAGTCGTTACTAAAGTGCACTCAATAATAATTTATGATATGCACATGTGATATTTTTTATTTATAAATTTTTACAAAATCAGCATTTACATTGTTTTATAAAATTTATATTTTCAATTTATTTAGTACTAATAAAGTCAATTTATACATGTAATAAAATATCGTAGTACTTACTAATATGTAATTTAATTTTGTGTGTCTGTAACATAATAAAATGTATTTTTGTGGATATTGATTTACATGCAAACTTAACATTTAAAAAAGTTGTGTTGAGTTTTTTATAAACAATTCGTCAAATATATGAATACCAACTTTTAAATAATAGTCCACATATTCAAGTAAATGTTGTATGTAAATCAATGTGAACTCATCGATCAAAAAAGTACTAGATACACAATCAGTGACAAAAAATGTCCTCACCGAATGAGCGCGCTTTTAACATTTTTTTTGTGAAAATAACTTTAAGCACTGCATTTAAGGTTCAATTTACATTGTTGTTTATTTATTTCAACTAGAATAATAATATTAATTACCTAAACATAATTGGTGACAGTTTTAAGAGAACTTTGCGTGGGATTGTGTATCTAGTACTTTTTTGATCGACGTGTTAACTTTACCTACATATTTACAATGTTTTTTTGTTAAATGTTATAAACGAGATTTACCACCATTTTGTTAAATAGTGTACATTAATGACCAACGGAATATAAATCAACATGTTCTATAATAAAAAATAATGGCACATTCGAATGTATGAATATTTTTTTTAATTACTTATTTAGTGCCTTCATAATATGGCTTAATCTGTGTCCTTAAATAAAAACATATGTACCTACTTGTTTAGGTTTAAATTATATTGTACAAAAGTCATTATAATATATTCAATAGTACAAGTATAGAACCTATCTAAATGTTAGCTTCTTAAAACATAGCTTAAAAATATAGGACTTACATATTATATATTTATAAACTTTAACGAATATAAAACTACATATTTGTATTTGATAATAATTGAAACAAGTGATTTTAACGTATATAAAGATAGCATGGCAAAATGAGCGGAATCGCTCAAATGACATTAGAGCGATTTTTTTTTAATTATCCAAATTGCTAATATGACAGTCTCAGCAAGATATAGAGTTAAATACAAAGATCTGCATCAGCAAAAATTAGCACATAAAATAGTTCTTATACTCGTAAGTAACTACTAAATTTTCAGTACTTTGCAATAATGAGTTAATTACGGCGTTTGTGGAATATACTGCTAAAAACTGCAAAATTTTAGCTTTTGGCACTAAATAAGCACTATTTTTTAAGCGATTCTGCTCATTTTGCCATGCTAGCATTATAGACGTTGATTTTTATTTAAATCAACACGTTGTTAAACAAAAACTTTGGTAGCCTTTATAGCATTTTAGTCTCAAGGATTTATTAACGTATTTTAAATACTAAAAATTATTTCATAAAAAAATTATTTAAAGAATTTGTTTGCTGTAAATAATATAAAATGAACATTTGTAAATTCTTTCGGGCTTCATTTGATGGATTGTCGTGGTATATTATATAAACAGCAACATTATTATTTTTTTATAACCGTTACTTTTGTTCTCAAAGTATTTAAAATAATACGAATTCTCGAAATATGTAATGAAGTTTTTTTGTATTTCATTCTTGCAGTCAATCATTGAACTTGTCAAATTAATGAAATGTGTATTTTTGTACATTCTCTTATCAATATCATATAGGCTTCCTTAGATTTTGTTTATACTAAATAAATCTTCCTTTACCCGACTGAAATAGATATAAAGTTAACCGGAATATGTGAGTATACATAAGTGCGTTCACTGTCGTTGCGTTACCACTTCTAGTTCCTATGAGATCGTGGTTGTGGATCGATTCTTGCCAGTTTTTTACTTTAATTAAATAAATTTTAATATAACAATTAAGTGCACATGTACCTATCTGTAAAATACACTCGTCTCGTAAAATTTCTATAAAAATGTATCCTCACATATTTCAAATGTTTTGAAATTATAAATAGTTTCATGTATTTAGTTAGCACTGTAAACCACGAGATTAGCCATACATACACTTTAAAATAAAGTTATTAAAAATATATAAATAAAATTATTGTGATTTCATTTCTGTCTCATTGATAAAAGCGAGCTTTATTAGGCTTATAGCCCAGATGCAATTTACGCTAGTAACTCGAGGAAGAAATAAATAGTGAGTTGTCATAACTTTTTCTTCGTACCTATATAAAATGATTTTTGGAACAATTCAAGAATTGTTTATGCATTCAACTACCTTTTGCGTTCAGTTCAATTCATTCATTCAAATTGGCCTTTTTTGTAATTTTGGCTTTTTTCCCAACGTTAAAAAAAACAGCACTCACACAGGTAGTTATGTGGGATTCACCGCCTAAAAAACCGAACTTTTTCCGTCAAATGGAGCGTCCGCTTGCACACTCAACCACGACTACCCTACGGTAGGCCTGCCCAAGCAGACCTCGGCAACCAAGGGGTTCCTGCCACGGTCCACTCTGCTATCAGGAGCATGGTACACTGCCTACCCAAGTGGACCACCTCCCAGTGTATCTCTTGCTTTGTGGCCACCACGAATCATTCTAAATATCATTAAAACTCACCTTACAAAAGCATTAAGTACATTATAATCGGATGACCAATATATATGAAACTCAATAGGTATCAATAATATATAATCGTTACTGCTGTTTTATTGGCAGCTCGAAATAGTAAGTATCTATAAATAATCTCATTAGGATGTTTATATGTATACGTATATTTAATTAAATTAAAATGGATATAGTATGTTATCCTTAAGAGATAGACATTATGCCATTGCTGACTTTTCTGTAGACATATATAAGATACACAATTCCACCATACATTATTTTGTTATATCTCAAAGGGTTCAGACAGCGTTTTCGTTGAAAGCTCCCAGACGTCTTATTTTTTCCGACACCTCCAACAAATATCGTTATATTTTAGCCAATGTATACAAAAACTTAACAAATTATATACTAAAACCTTCCTCTTGAATCACTCTATCTATTAAAAAAAAACCATCAAAATTCGATGCGTAGGTTTAAAGATTTTAGCATACATAGGGATATAGGGACAGAGAAAGTGACTTTGTTTCATACTATGTAGTGATTTTAATGAATGATTGTTTTTTTAGCAATGTGGGTGCCCAACATGCCCATCACCATCCTCACTGGCGTGGCGGCGGGAGCGGGGATGCTGTGTATCTTTAAGTAAGTATTAATATATATTTTAAACTAGCAACTTACTTTGCTCAGAGGCACGTGACGGTCTCTTGTATATATATATACATAAAATAAAATTCTAACTGATTCAAATTTGTACATTAAATATCTTTTAGAAAATCTTATTGAAATAGTCATTATTATCGATACAGAGGCCGAATCTATATATAGTTTTTAAAATTTTTGTCTGTGTGTCTGGCTGGGAACGCATCAAGAGGAAACCACTGGACGGATTTTGACTTTTTACTGCGGGGAAACATCTCCTCTCTGACAAATCTACTAACAAGTATACTAAACGTTAAAACTACGATTTATGTCGTGACGTATGATTTACGTCCTAACTTACAGGACAGGCAGAGAAAACAATATAACGCGAAAAGATTAAGAAGTAACAGATCACCTCTTTCCACCATTGTCAAGATGTACGGCATGTGTGTATAATGCACAGAGTACATTGGTATATGATGGGTGTTTACAACGTACGCTCTAGCTATACTGATACAAAAATCCAAATCATAAATGATTGTAAACATTCAATTTTCTAATACGGTATTCCATATTTGAGCCTGCGATCGCCAATGTCGAGCCGAACAAAACTTTGTTACTGCTTTTTAATAAAATATTTTTTACTATTTTCGTCAACATTCATTTATTACAATTTTCAGTATGATATTATATTGATAAATTTTATTGTAAGCAACCTAGTCTACTTACTACTAAGTTTTATTTCTTGTTAATCTGTTAAAAAAATGTCCTAACATATTTATTATTTATTTATAAACTTTTCTACGTTCGAATGTTCAGAGAGTATCTACTAACGTACATAGAGTAGACGCGTTACAATACGCTTTACGAAAGTAAATTATTGTAAAGCGATGGTCCGAAAAATAGAATAATATAATTTTGTTCTAAAGTAAACATAAGCCCCCCCCCTCCCCCTCCCCCTCGACTTGGACAAACATATGTTAAACACGATTCCAGGGCATGTTTCTTTTTTTTAAATTCCTGTTGAACCGCCTCTTGTTATTTCAGTAACTACAAAACTAATTTTACAAATAATGGAATTATTGATCTATATAAAATGTAAACTACAAAAATAGAATCATAACAGGTATTATGCAGTCGGAGACATAGTACATATATATGTAGCAAGACTAAATAAGTATAAAACATGCATATATTTAACTTTATCTCTTAAAGAGATGTCTACGGTGGCGTGGCCTTCGATAAGAAGGTATCGGCTGAGGGCAAGACCGTGATCGTGACGGGGGCGACCAGCGGCATCGGCAGGGAAGCTGTGTGGGAGTTCGCCAAGAGAGGAGCCAAGGTAAAAGATTTTTTTTACATTTTTCAAGAAATTATAACAATCAATGTATCGTAAAGTCATTATATTGCTGGCACAATCTCCGGAATCGGAGATTATAGGTTCGATTTCTTTAATGAATGAAAGGTTGTGCTAAGAATACTAAATATGACCAGGTGTAGTTTTAGACGAAATCGATTTCCCAACAACAATAGTAAATAAAGTTAGCTAGCAACAAAGTTACTTTACCGATGACACTTACTTGCTTAAATATATGTAGGTACTAAGTACCTATATAATATATATTTTTTGTTTTAAAATTTTTATCATCTAGAGCTCCTTTTTTTTTAACGTTGGGAAATGCATTTACGCACGAGGTGTGGGACTCACCGGCAAAGCCAGTACTACCCACTAAAACCCAACAAAGCCTTCCCCCGTCTTAATAGGGTGTCGCAGGATCGCTTACGCATTTAACTACGACGCCCCGACGGCAGGTCTGCCGAAGCAGACCACAACAACCACGGGGTTGCTCCAAGGTCCACTCTGCTATCAGAGAAGTACCAGGAGCAACCCGCATGGTACACCGCGCTCCGAAGAGGGCCACCTCCCACCGCCCACCGAAGTGGGCCACCTCCCTGTGCGTTTCTTGGCTTCGCGCCCAGTTGGGTTGCCGGGCACTACTGAGCCCCCCCACCACGAAAAGGTGAACGCACGTTGGGGGGGATCATCTAGAGATCCTACAATTATACATAATATGATGAGTGATAATCGAAAGTAAATACCGAAGAATACAACAGTGATATTCTATCGACAGCTTAAATTTCTAGTACTTTGCATGGTATCCTGTACACGGTTATTCAGTCTTGATTAAGCCTATTTGCAATACTTCTTAGTCCAAATTATAAGTAGAAAAATATCTTTGAAATTAATTTATTTTGAACAGGTGTTCATGGCGTGTCGTGATATGAAGAAATGTGAGGCAGTACGCCGCGACATTGTCCTAGAGACCAACAACAAGTACGTGTACTGCCGGCCGTGCGACCTCGCCAGCACCGCGTCCATACGTGAATTTGTAGCTAGGTAATAACACCTCCAAGTAAATTTCTAAGAAATTAATTAAAATTCTAAAAAATCTATTGTTAACTGACACGCCGGCGTGTTCGCGGTCGTGGAGGGATTAATTTCTTTGAAACTCCATAAGGTAAATGCGAATGATATGACAATGATTTGTTTGGACGACCTGGTCTGATATTGGAAAAGGAGATAGGTAGTGGATTTTATAACATAAGTGGAGTGGAGTGGAATTTATTACGAAAGTGTTTGAACTCATTGAATTTCTTTGTCGATTCTCATACAGTTCATCTTGAGCTTTTTTTATAGATCTAAAAAATATTAGAATCTGATAGTATTCTCAAAAATTATCTTCTGTTCTGAACGTTCCACTGGAGTTATAATATATATCCCTTAAATATTATTATTTCAGGATGAAAGCAGAAGAGCCGCATGTAAATATATTAGTGAACAACGCGGGCGTCATGGAGACTCCTAAAGGCGTAACCAAAGATGGCTTCGAGATACAGCTTGGTATTAACCATTTCGGGCACTTTCTGTTGACTCAACTATTGCTAGATACATTGAAGGTAATTAAACATAGCCTACATTTAACTTATTTAAATTAATAAAATTTCATCAAGTGATTTTCGACGGAATTTCCTGCCGACAATATGAAAAGAATCTCAAAAATTATTGATACTTCGACATTAAAAAATGGCGAACCCCCCCCATATTTTTTCCCTATTTACTTCTTTAGAGGCTGATTTTTTTTTCTGTCTGTATAATCCTAGTTTTAGATCAATTCTGTTATAATACACGAGTATAATACGAGTACAGTTATTTAGTATTTTGCAATACATACTTTGAAAACAGCTACTTTGTTGAGTTTCTCGTCGGCTCTTTTTGGTATAATTGGTTTCCGATCCGTTGATAGATTCCTCAAGAATAAGGACATACATACTGATATTTAATTTATATAAAAATTAACTGCCTCGGTGGTGTACGGCTGCACACTCGGAAGTCCTGGGTGCGAGTCCTGGGTCGGGCCAAGTTTAGTTATTGAGTAGTAATCTCAATGAGATTGGCCGCCATGGCTGGAATCGGCTAGGAGAACATCATCATCACATCATAAAAAAATATGTAAATAAATTATATTTTGATTTTAAGCAATCAGCGCCAAGCAGAGTGGTGGTGGTGACATGCAACGCTCACCAAAAGGGCACTATTAATAAGGAAGATCTAAACATGACGAACAAGTACGACCCGGTCGCCGCGTACAACCAAAGCAAACTAGCTAACGTGCTGTTTGCGAGAGAACTCGGGAGACAAATGCTAGGTGAGATGCAAATAATTGAAATGTCGTCCATTAAGTAATAATTTATACTAAGTATTCATAGATGGCGTTGTTTACGTTTTATGACTTTGCCTACAAACGGTTAGCTATAAAAATATGCCAATCTCCTAGCCACTCCATTACAAACAGAGAGTTGTGACATACGAGATGAAATCTTTAGCTATTTTTGTTCTGTTATGCCAAAGAAGAATAACTTCTTACGTGCGTTCATAAGTACACACGCGTTTTTTTATCGCATTTTGTTGTATTCGACACATTTTTGTTACAGATTTTTCTTAAAATAAAATAGTTTAGTAGCTTTCAGATAAGCGCCACATTTTTGGTACTATTGTTCATAGATTATAAAGCTTGTAATGGTTCCCAAATATAGGAAGTTCGAAGATACCTCCGCATAATAATATTAATTTATTTTTAATTTAAAAATTTGTCTTCTCATATCTTTATATAATCTCATTCCATTCCACTAAGATAATGAAAATCATACATTATAGTCACCCATATTTTTTAACACTAGACACAGAAGTAGCGGTGACAGCAGTAGACCCTGGCTTCACGGACACGGACCTGACGAGGAACCTCGCCATGATGAAGAGCATCACGCGCTTCATAGTGTACCCGATCTTCTGGCCGGTGATGAAGAAGCCCCGCACCGGCGCGCAGGTGGTGCTGCACGCCGCCCTCGGCCCGGAGTTGGAGGCGAGCAAGGGAGATTATTATGTGTATGTCATTTGTTACTACATACATCACACATCAATATTTAAAGTGTACACACTCATTGTATGTATACAGCCCTTTTTAACGTCCCACTGCTAGGCACGGACCTGTCTCCAATACAAGGAGGATTAAGCTATAGTCCACCACGCTGGCGAGTGCGGGTTGGTGGACTTCATATAGCTTTCGAAAACTTGCTAGGTTCTCTCAGACACATGTTTCCTCACGATGTTTTCCTTCACCGTAAGACAAGTGGTAATCTAAAGTGTGATCTATGTTAGAAATGATTCGCACATAAAAATATCGATAAAAATATCGTGGTGCGAGACACGGATTTGAACCCGCTACACTTGGTTACCCAAGCGAGTCCGTTACCACTAGGCTACCACTGCCCATTAATATATGCATTATTATTCATTATTATGTATAAATATGTCAATATTTATCTCGTCTCGAGTGGCACACTCTACGGGGTGGTGATTCATTACAAAGCCAACCGGTGAGGGGTAAAGACTTTAGTGCGTACGCGCAAAACCGATATAGCTATAATATATACATTCGACAATTAATATAAACCTTATTTTGTTAGTTATAAAGTGCACATTAGACACATATTTATTACTAATAATATTTAACAACACGTTTGGATCAGTTTGTAGTGACCCTACTCGCTGTGCCTGCGGCCGCGGGTTCGAGTCCCACTGGGACATTCATTTGTGTTTGGGCATTTGTTTGTACTCCAGTCATGGGTGTTCATATTTATAATATGTATGTATTTAAGGTTATATTATGTGTAGTATAACAACTATCTGGTATCCATACCACAATTCTCATAGCTTACCATGGAACTACATGGTGCTGTGTATTAATGTCTCAACATAAGTATGTATGTATGTAATAAAAAAATTAATGTATTAAAAAAACTTTCAGTGACATGAAGAAAGTAGAACCGTCAAAAACCGCCCAGGATTACGAACTAGCGCAGTGGTTGTGGATAGTGAGCGAGAAGTGGACCAAAGTTGCGGAACACAAAGCTGCAATCGCAAAAGCTCATGCTGCTTGACCTTTAGATGTAAAAGTTTGGGAAGCTTTGGTAAAAATTGTTGATTAAAATGATTCTAAGCACATGTTACTTTTCTAAGAAGAACCATATATGTAATAATATTATCGATCAAAAATTTACTAGATACACAATCAGTGACAAAAATGTCCTCACTGAATGAGCGCTCATTTGAACATTTGAGCGCGCTTTTAATATTTTTTTTGTGAAAATAACCATTGCATTTAAGGTTCAATTTACATTGTTGTATATTCATTTGAACTAGAATAATTACCTAAACACAATTGGTGACAGTTTTAAGAGAACTTCTGTATGGGATTGTGTATTGATCGATGGTAATAATGTAATTTATTTCACATATATTTAATTGCATATTTTATCTGTTTATAACCAGGACAAGAATTTTTTAATCATCAATTGGGTATGAAAATCTGTATTTTGTCTAATGATGTATAGAATGAGCTGTAAGTTTGTTTGATTTGCATTTAATGTTTGTATGTGTGGATTAGTTTAGTGTTATTGTTAATAAAATGTTTAAATGTAGCTTTTTTTCTGTATTACCTTTTTAAGAAAAGTTTTATTCGTAAAGTTCAGATTAAATTTTAAACTGAGAATATTAAAAGAGAAAATTGTATCATAACATTCAAACTTTACATTTTTTTAAATCACTTATACGAGGTGTGGCAACTAAATTCCAGATATGTATATAAAATATTATATAGTATCAACTGCCTCGGTGGTGTAGTGGCTAGCATGTACGGCTACCAACCCGGAGGTCCTGGGTTCGAGTCCCGGGTCGGACCAAGTTTAGTTATTGAGTCTTTCTGTATAGTAAGCCTCAGTAGCAGCCCGGAGTGAGGAAGTTGGCGGTGTTTCACCCCCGTGCCTCGGAGAGCACGTAAAGCCGTCGGTCCTGCGCCGACACTCACCGGTCGTGTCTCGTGTCGTCCCACCAGAGTATTAGAGTGACAAGAATAGAGAGTGTACGTTGTGTCTGCGCGTACACGCGCTGCACTTTAATATCTCCTGCGCAGTTGGCTAGTCTCAATGGGATTGGCCGCCGTGGCCGGAATCGGTCAGGAGAACATCATCACTGTATAGTATGGCGCGCGTACAGGATATTGTAAAACGAGACAATTGACAACACTCCGAGTAATTATAATTACACTAGTGAAATAATAATTTAACAGACCTTACAACTTCCTTGCGACATAAACATTCTTTTAGATATCTAGAAAACTAATCGAGATATCGATTTTTTTTTGTTATTTTACGTTTTATTTTTCAAAAATATATTGAATTCCGTCAAAAATTGAAAAAAAAATCGATTTTTGAGTAAAGATATCTCGAAAACTAAGCGAGATATCGAAAAATGTATTCCGGGTTTTCAAACAGCAGATCGGTGTTGGATGGGAAAGGTCACTTCAAATAAAAACTCTTTCATAACACAAATAATTTATTACTTAGTCCCATATGGAGGCGTGGTAGTGGGGGTTGTCGAAGAGCAGGGCGGGCGCGGGGTGCGTGGCGGCGCGGGGCGGGTGGCGGTGCAGCAGCTGCAGCACGCCGGTGCCCACGCCGGCCGGCACGCCCAGGATGATGCACTCGGACACGCCCTCGATGCGGTCGCGCTGCCCGTAGTACGCCGCGTCGAACAGGTGGTCCGCCGTCTTCTCGAACTGAGGAGGAGAAAGGAGGTTTTACTCGATTCGGCTGTTTTATTTTGGGTATAACGTGGTATTTACGGAATTGTGAAGATTTTGAAAATGAAATAACTTTTTTGTTAAATACCTAGTTATTATTATAGTACAAGTGTATTTTCAGTACAAGTTCACTCTCAAAGTCCGATGCAACATCAGACTGGAAATATTAACGCAGAAGTTACTCCCTATAATATAGACAATTAATTATACAACCAATCAATTGCGAAGCTAGCATCCTACACTCAAATCGCCAGACCTGAAAGCGCATCACCAACTTAAAGCACAACTACTCTCAAAGCTCCACAAAATTGCCATGATCATCATCCAGCATGAATTATCTCAAAATTGATGCGAGAACATTTAAAATTTTAAAAACAAAAAAAAACACGACAATAAAACCAAAAATGACAAAAAAAAGTACAGACAAAAAGTCTGTGGTGATCGCATCCTATCCTACCCTCACTATAAACTCAAACCTCCCCCCACCACCACGTCCAGCACGTCTACTCACGCTGGCCAGGTTGAGCACGCTCTCCTTCATGCGCGCGAGGCCGTAGCGCGTGATGCCGAGCACCTCGCCGCGCGCGCACATCTGCGCCGCCAGCAGCGCCACGTGGCGGCGGTCCACCGCCATGCCGTGGCCCGCCATTACCGCCTCGATCTCGCTCATGATGGTGGACGCCGCCGCCTCGATGCCCAGCGTGTGGAACACCTGTACGTACCGACGCGACGTTACACATTACTTATTTCAACATTTTAAATGAATATTTATTATTTATGTATATTTCCGAATTATGTTGCGGTTTTATTTTCTGTTTTTGTTTCCGACGTTTCGAATGATTTACAGCAAACGATGTAAGTAAGAGATAATTCGAAAAGATATCAAATATCAGCTTAGATCTAAGAAAGTATTAATTAAAATATTTCCAATAAATGGTACACACACATACATACATAACTATATATATACAAGTAATAAATCCGATAGAATTTTCAATCTTATGACAGGCTTACTATATTGACCTGTTATTTAAATGTAAAAATAGACGATTCAAAAGACCACGTAAGAATCCATTTCAATAAAGTATAGTTAATTTAATTTGACAGTACCAGTTATAATGGCCTATACACATGAAGAGTTTAACGCGCTGTCATAATTTAAAATTGAAAATGACATATTCTATAAATTACTGATTTTACAAAATTATTTTAAACTTTCTAAAACATTTTTAATTCACACAAAATATAACTCATATGTATACTCATATATATTATTTTCTTACTACACGTATGTATGTCATACTGGGTTTATTTCATCAATATTTGAAATATTTAATACAAATCTTACCTCTAATATATTATTGGAAGATGTCTTCCGGCCGTCGACGCCGAATGTCGCTATAACATCTCTTAGTCCATCACCTTCTACGCATAATTTATATCTGTAAAACAATAAAATTTAAAATACAGAATAACATAAAATGCTTATTAAATTATTATAAAAAATAATATTCATAAATGTTGGCAAATTACTATATTTTGATTATGAATTTGTTTTATATATTTTTAACACAAACACAATGAAACAAAAGCAAACCTATCCCACGGGAACCGTACATTTTTCCGGGATAAGAAGTAGCCTATGTGTTATTCCAGACTATAATCTCTGTGCCAAATATCCAACATCCGTTCAGCCGTTCTGGTGTGAAAGAGTAACAAACATCCATTCTCACAAACTTTCACATTAATAATATTAATACGGATAAAAGCAAGAAGTTTCTATTTTAAATTTAGTAAATCAAATAACATGGTTCTTATAAATGCTAAAGATTGAGGGAATAAATGTTTAGTTTTTGGACTTTATCACGCAGTTAAAGAAATTAATTGAATTTACATATTATAAGCTAATATTTATCAATGTATCTATCTACAACGAGACCGAAGCGTGCAAACATTTTACTAAATTGATGTATTTGTGTGATATACAAATAACGACTTATCCTTGCTTTTCTCGAATGTGTCCTTAGGAACTTAACAGTAGCCTATGTGTTACTTTTGGTTATAGACTATCCTTAAACTTAACTTCATTCAAATCTGTCCAGCCGTTTCAGCGTGAAGGAGTAACAAACATATAAACATACACACCCATACAAACACTCTCATTTATATTTAGTCCAATTGATATAAGTCTGACAACTTAGTAGTGCACGCTCAACGTGCACGCGTGTGTATGACGAGCACATCATGTATGTGTGCGCGTGCGTGTCGGTGCGTGTGTGCGTACCGGGGCCTGGCGGCGGCGTCGTCGCAGGCGATGACGGCGCGCGCGACGCGCGGCAGGCCCTTGACGACGACGGCGGGCAGCGCGCGCGCCAGCTGCTGCAGCGCCACGTTGAGCCAGCCGCCGTGCCGCGCGCCCTCCGCCTGCACCTTCACCGCCCACTCCGACACCGCGGACACGTTGCACGACTTGATCTTCAGTTTTGATGTGCAGATACTGTACGAATATATCAAACGACTCAATGGAGATTACTTGTTAAAGTGGTATAATTAAAAATTAATATTACAGTCAGTGCTTATGTCATTTTTCGAAGATTAGGTCTTTGTATTGGTAGTTAACATATTTATTTGTTTTTTAGTAAATATAAGCATAAATAGTAAATTATGGTTAAACAACTTCAATAATTTATTTAAGAATTATAAAACAAAAAAGTAATTTAAAACGTATTAAACCGACTTCAAAAAAAAGACTAAAAAGTATAAAATTACTGAACGAAAATTTTCATTTACTATAAATACCTAATCAGACATTTTCGACAATGCCTTATGATATGAATACCTAATAGGTAAATATGACAAAGAATGAACATTAATTATAATTTATATCGAAGTAGATTCATTTTGCTTTGCATCGGCTACAGTTAATAAAGTCGATTAATATATATAAAATAAGCATTCCGAATACTCGAGTCTCAGTTAAAAATACAAACAACACTAACGAGTAAACAACAGAGTGCACGTTGACCTCGAGACAGAGCAGGCGGATGCGCTCGGCGTCGAGGCGCAGCAGCAGGAAGCACTCGTGCGGCAAGTACACCTCGTCTATGTACGTCGTGATCTACACGCGGACATACAGACACACGGACGGACTAATTTATATACATAATACAAAATTAGTATACAATAAACTTTAATTATTTGAGAAAACAACATATATGTTAACAGTAAATATGAACATGGTGGTACACAAAAATGTAACTATAATAAATATATCCATCAGTTTAAACAATTTGGGGTATACAAAAGCATCATGCATTATTACATAACGTTGTTTAGGGGTTGCTATTAAATAGCAATTAAGGTCGCTAAGTTAGTTAATCTATACATATAATAAAATTGTAACTAAACCGAATCTGTACATTAAATATTTTTTGGAAAATCTTATTGAAATAAACATTATTATCGATACAGAGGCCGAATCTATAGTTTTTAGAATTTTTGTCTGTCTGTCTGTCTGTCTTTCTGTCTGTTTGTCTGTCTTTCTGTCTGTTTGTCTGTCTTTCTGTCTGTTTGTCTGTCTGTTAGCGCGTCACGGGATAAACACTGGATAGATTTTGATAAAATTTGGTATGATGATAGCTGGTTATCCGGGTCAACATATAGGATACTTTTTACCGCGGGAAAATATCTCATTTCTGAGAAAAAATACAAAAACTGCAATGTAAGAGTATACTAATATGTAAAACATAAGAATTTGGTTTTTGGTCATCTGAACGTGGTCGGAGCCGACAATGCTAGTTTTAAATAATAATAAAATCTTCCAGACCAATTTGAGCCATGGCGGTCAGACGCCGATCTCACAGAGACTAGCCATATGCACAGAGAAGTGAGATTTACAATCTAACTAACGTGCATTAAAGTTTCTCATAGTGGTTTTTGTAATAAAAAATACAGAGTACTCAATTTGAATACTAACCTTTTTCGTAATCAAAAATTCATGGTTCAAGGTATTTACTTCTAAATATTAATTAGACACTCTCAATAACTATATAAAATTATATAAACAACGAATTCTATCAAAAAACTCACTTCACCCAACGTAGTCTTCTCTACTCTCCCTTTGACTCTTCTCGCGAACTCCTGGTCGTAGGGATCCATGAGTTCAGCTGTGATGATGGGAGTGGAGATGTTGCGAGACGCGTTGATGATTTCCTTGACACGGGGAACCCCCTGCGTGATGTTCATGGAGGCCACTCCAGCGAAGTGGAAAGTTTTCAATGTCATTTGGGTACCGGGCTCTCCTATACTCTATAACAATAAAGAATTATGTCACGTTAATTTAATGTCATTACTGAAATTAAAATTTGAAAATTCACTATTACAGCCTATTTGGAAATACAGGGAAGAATCTAATCCATAAACTCGAAGCTCTTGTTAGTATAAATACTAAACTGATTTTTTTAATTATACTCGAAAGTTCTATTTTCTCATCCAAGCATAACCATCCAATTTTATCCCATAAAGGGTTGATTTTTAATAGATCAATATCTAGCGGTAACCTATATTGTTAAAGGACTAAGCAATTAGAATCTCAGCCAGATTCTGTAGTTTGGTGTGGATTGACCAGGATCGTCAGGAGAAGTAACTTTATTTTACTTTCGGTAAATTAAGTCATATTATAATGTAAGTTTGATTTTAACTCCATTCTTTTTAAATCCATTCATTAAGCCTTTTTAACGTCCCTCTATTGGGAACGGGCGTCTTCTCAATGCAAGTGAGTTCAGACCATAGTCTAGCACACGACCAAATGCGGGTAGGTGAACTTCATTTGTCTATCGAAAAGTGGTTAGGTTCTCTCAGACCATTGTAATAAGGTATATATTACCTGAGCAGCCAGTGCACCAACTGCTGTGCCGGGTTCGATGATGCTCCTCTGGTACTTGTCGTGGCAGACGCGGATGAACTGCACGAGTTGGGTAAGCGTCAGTCTCTCCAGCTGCATCGCGATGGGTCCGCACGACGCGTATCTACTTCGTAGTAGACGAACTTTATTCGCTATGGTCTTGAGGAAATTTCTGGAATATATTAACTTTTTATTAGATAAGTGGCGATTTTGAAATGCTTATGTCTTTTTATTACTAAATTTTGGATAATTTGTTAGATTTACGCAAATATCTGATACTTTAAATAAAACTATGAGAAAGATTGTGTGGTGTGACAGTGACCATGATTGCTTTAAAGCATTCGAAACGTCGGGAAACGAAAAGTCAAGTACCAATATTTTAACAGCAATCATTATAATGAAATTTAATTGTTGATGTCCTTTATTCTAACAATATATGAACACTAACAATAATTCAGCCTTAAACTCATCGGGACATGTCTTGAAGTCGTCCAGCGCCAGGGTCTCTTCAGCAGCCACGACGATGCCGTCACCATCCAGTGACTCCTCTTCGCTATAACCATATAAATAGATTAGAATTCAAATATTATCATATTTATAATTAGATTAGTAAAGTTGGCGATGTTACACGTGCAAGTGGTATACGTAAATGCATTTTCCAACATTCAACATCAAAAAGGGTCCCATCGTTCCATTAGAGCGTATTGTGTTTGTGCACACACTAATTCACAGAATTTTAGTATCAGAGATTATCAAGTAAATATTGCCTCTTTATTATTATACGAGTAAATTAAATTAAACATTATTCTATATGTTAGTTACTCAGAAGCAATAGGGAGTTGTGAAATTATTGATATCAACATCTCTATGAATACGTAAATAGGTTTCTCCTTTTTGAGCATTGATATACAAAAACTTAAGATACGCAATTAGCGTTTCAAAAGTGTCCTCAAAAAAAGCGCACAATTCGAAATAGTGCGCTTTTCTCAAATTTGTTTTAATCTTTGTTTTTCAGTAAACAAAATTAAAACACACGTTATGTAAGGTTGAATTTGTGTTTAGACGACAGAATTTTTGAATTTTATTCTTAGATTTGACTTAACGTGGTTTTGTGAACGTTACATATCGACGTCACTTTTTGAAGAGATATCTCTTAGTAGACGACATTGGCGAAGTAAATTGTGCCCAAATGGCACGCCTATAAGCTACAAAACAAAGAGCATTGAATATTGATATTTGTTAGGAAATGTTTTTTTTATATCAATGTCTCTGCGTCATATATTTTTCAGATTACAATTCTCCATTCTTTAGTGCGTGCGTGCGTGCGTGTGTGTGCGTGCGCTCACCGCGGGCGGCAGTGCGCGCGCACGTGGCGCAGCACGCGCGCGAGGTGCACGGGGCGGTCGCGGCCCTCCATGTAGGAGGGGTCGAGGCCGTCGCTGCCGTAGCGGAACTGCACCACCTCGCCTGTCGCGTTGCGCACCGTCATGTCGTAGTGCAGCACCAGGTCCTCCAGCGACTGCAATACCGACACCCTCTTACATAACATATCATATTCATTTAATACTACTATATGCATTTCTGCGAAAAAAAACTAAAATACAAAAATGAGTTTGGACGAAGCCTTTAAGCTACAGACCACTATACAGAGCACTAAATTTTTTTTTTTGCAACACCAGTGTCAAAGTGTACAGTCATACAACCTATAAATATTTTAAGATATCTTCGTCCCAAAAAGGGTAGTCTCTTATGTACAGCAAATATATCTTATCTTGACAAGAACCATCGATAAAAAAGTACTAGACAATATCCTCACCGAATGAGCGCTGATTTGAACATTTGAGCGCGCTTTTAATTTTTTTTTTGTGAAAACTACTGTAAAGCATTGCATTTAAGATTCAATTTACATTGTTGTATACTTAAACACAATTGGTGACAGATTTAAGAGCACTTTTGCATGGGATTGTGTATCTAGTACTTTTTTGATCGATGCTAAGAACAGTATCTTTTTATATTATTAACCTTAACAAGTCTCCGCTGCAGGTAGCCCGTCTCCGCGGTCTTTACTGCAGTGTCCACGAGACCCTCGCGCCCTCCCATCGTGTGGAAGAAGAACTCTGTCGGCGTGAGACCTGAATAGAAGCTGTTCTCTACAAAGCCTCGGGCTGCTGGGATCTTTGCTGTATTGAAAAGATTACTTTATAAATCTATAAGTCCATCACGCTGGGCAAATTCAGTTGGTAGACTTCACATGTCTTTTGAAAACTAGTTAGGTTTTTAAGACAAGCAAGATTTTACGATGTTTTCCTGCACCAAATTCGCAAGACAAAAAACAATTCATCATTTATGATTACTGCTCCGCTCCCTTGGTAGTAGTAGCATGGTGATATATAGCCTATGCATTATAGCCTTCCTCAGTAAACAGGCTATCTAATGTAAAAAGAATTTTTCAAATCATGTTAGTATTTCCTGAGATTTGCACGTTCAAGCATGTTATGTAAGTAAGAAACAAATAAATATTGGCCTCTTTATAATATTGAGTATAGATCACTACATACATATGTATAAAAATATTCTAAGGTCATTTTATAATATCTTAATATATGAATGCACTTACAATGTCTTTCAAAATGCGGCAATGAGCGGTCTTCGAAGCCGTTGGGCACTCGCTTGCCGTTGAGAGCCTGCTGCCCCACGCACGCGATCATTTGAGATATGTTGATATTAGACCCTATTACAAACGGACAAAGTTCATTATAGAATGGTAAAATCATTATATAGTATGTCCTTAATACATTTTAAAATGTTATAAGCTGAATAAAATCCACTTTTTTTGTTTCACCACAGTCGGGTAAAAATAGACATTTAAAAGTTTTATCAATTTGAATATTTTTAGTCTCGTTTAGTAGTGATAGTAAAAATATATAAACTAAAAAATTAAAAGTCGACTTTAATTCCTTGAGAAACACCTATTTAAAATTTGATTATCATCTAAATAATACCGTATACAAAACTTTACCTTTCGAGCCACTTTGCGCCATAATGAGTGGAGCGTTGGTGGGGTGCAGTTCTCGGAAACAGGCCTTGGCTGCCAACTCTCTATGAAACAAAACCCATATTTGTCTAAATTCTTCATTTTCATGTTATAACTTCCATTAAAATGTATATTGATTGTAAAATCGAAAATATACAAACCGACTCATTCATTCACTTTCATTTCTCATACATTTCAATAAATCATTTTTTTTACAAATAGCCAAGTCATCTGAACACAGTTTCCCTTAGTTTCCCTTCGCTTCGCTCGGGTTCGTCCCTAGCTTGATTCCCAATACAAACTTTCATCCCCATTTTCACCCCTTAACGGATGATTTCCGGAATAAAAAGTATCCTATGTCCTTTCCAGGATCTCAAACTATCTTCTTACCAAATTTCATCTAAAACGGTTCAGTACATCCAGAGATTGCCCCCTACGACATCACAAACTCACAAACTTTACTTCTTTATAAAATTAGCATAAAGCATATCCAGAAAACTTAAGTGGGACTAGGCTGGTCACGTCTATCGTATGCCTGCGGAACTGTGGGTCAAAGTTACCACAAAGTGGAACCTATGACAGGGAGGCATCGCGGCAGATCACTGATTAGGTGGCGAGATGTAACGGTCAAATTCGATCCAAATTGGCCTATTTTTCCGCAAGATCCCCGCCCTTTGCCTAGTAGTGATATGATGTAAACTAACTGCAATTTTAATATGGCATTATAAATTATGAATACTAAATTAAACTTACCTAATGCTGCTCAACTCGCTCAACATAACCGCCTCGAGCGTCTCCTCCATGGTGCAGCCGGGCTGACACTGCAGCGTTCCCTTTTCCATCTCCAAAATATATCCATCACATTTTGAATATCTGTAGGTAAAAAGTTAAAATAAATGATATATATTTTTTTATTTTATTACCTAAGTAAAATTTAAAAGTATATTTTTATACCAGACTTTCACTAAGAGTTACATTCAATGAATGTAAGTAATTGTTAACAAACAAATAGAAAAGGAAATTCGAGTGTCTGTTTTCTTTGTACGCATTGTAGGAAAAATTAAAAAAAAAACTATCTGTTTTAAAACTTTTTTTTTTAAATTCATTTAATGACCCTTTTAGTTAAACTTTGAGGTCCAAAATAAAGTGTTGAAAGTCTTCAAATTGTTTGAATGAGTAGTGTTTATTAATTACTTATACATTTAATTTGTATTCCCACTCACCCAGACTCCAGAAGTTTATTCTTGGCTTCGATAAGCTTCTTGCCGGGCGTCACGTCTATGATGCCGAAACTGAATCCTCGATTCATCATATAGTAAGACGCCATCCGCGCTAATCTAATAGAAAAAAAATGAAAAACCCTTAGTGACACCAAACCATGTAAGATAATAATTAAGCTCTTTAAGGATCCTATTGCTAGATATGAGCCTCCCCTAGGTGCCATAGAAACACGCTAGCTAAATGCGGATTTGCAGACTCCATAAAGATATCTTTTCTATCATTCCACGTTTTAGATAGCGAGTAGGTCGTTAATAGCACGTAATAGATTCTTTAAAAATATAGAGATAACAAAAGCTTCAAACTACCCAATATTACATTAATATTAAGAGGAAACAATTATAATCATTTTTATATATATGGAGGTAGGTAAATAAGACAAAGGAAACTGTAACAATTAATTTATATTATTGTAGTTATTATCATCACAAAATATCACAAAATAGTTTAGAGTAACCAAAGAAAATATATCAGCAAAAATACTATAAATAGAAACCTTATCCTTTAAAGAATTATCAAAGCTACTTATCTTTGTCCTGATCAGCTGCTCGCCAAAGAAAAAGTGATTCGCTAACGAACACAGGGTATTTATAACATCGTAGTTAAAAATAATAATAAAAAGATTGTTATATAAAAAATATACTGTAAAATTAATAATAATCTATCACACGCTTGCTTTGGCAACAGTGGAGCAAATTTGAAACATTATCTGCATATCGGAGAGATAGCAAAAGATACATGAAGTCCGCCAATCCGCATAAGGCCAGTGTGGAGGACTATTCCCCAAAATCCCAATCCGCATTGATGGGAGGCCTAAATACAAGGGCTCGTCGATGGCCCTTTATAAATTTCCATAAAAACCTCACACAATGCAACAATTAATTATATTAAATAAGTATAATTTTTGGGAGTTTTGCTAATTTGGTGTTTAATGTGTGAGAATACGTTGTCTGTACGTGAATAATAGTCTATAGGCAAGTACGATAATAATGTTTAACACAGTCACAGTAACATCCAGTTTATTCACTATATATAATACACATAAAGAAAACCTGTTTGTATGTATGTTTGTATGTTTGAATTATGTAGGAGAAGCCCACAATTAAGATTGAAAAAACTATTGTTATATTATATTTTAAAACGAACTTCACCTCCACATACTCCTGACCGCGTACTCCTCGCCCCAGTCCCTCAGCAGAATGTAGAAGATGCTGGTCTTAGTGCCGGAGCCCAGCGTGCTCTTGTCCATGGACCCGCAGATTAGATCAGAGTTCCTTATTATTACATCTACGAATTGTTTAACTGTTATTTAAAGACATACATACATATTACTGCATGCATCATTTTGTAATTAGGATAGATAATTTTTTTTAATACTAGCGACTCACCCTCGCTGCGCATCGGGTTCGTTCCTAGACAAAAACAAATCGTACGGTTTTCCTAGATAAATAGAACCTATGTGCTATTCCAAACTATAATCTATCTCTGTGCCAAACATCCAGATCCGTTCAGCCGTTCTGGCGTGATTGAGTAACAAACATCCATCCAAACATCTAAACTTTCACATTTATAATATTAGTAGGATATTTAGTCTAATGTTGGAAATTCATTTTTTATGCTCAAAGTCTGTGTAATATTAGTATTTAACAATTATTTGCTTTGATGGTCTTTATACCTTTAATAGTTTTTCCGAATAAATAACTCTGTTAAAAGAAATTCAGGGTTACTATTAAACCTTATTTCTTCAAAATTATAATCTAGGGCCTAGCGTCATAAATAGACCGAATAGACTTTTTTATACGATTATTGCGATTGCATTACTATTGAAACACAACAATGAACATTTTTTTATAACTTGCCTAAGTAAATACTATAAAATTAATTACAAATATTTTTTTTAAGTTACGCTTCTTTTGGCATGTTTGGAAAAAAATATGAAAGTAAAATTTTTACAATGCGCGCGCACACCGACAACCAAAAACGACATGATGAAGTTAGCTGAAAGCGACATGATAAAGTCAGCTGCATTCTTTTACAAGCAGAGAGTTGTGACATACGGGATGAAATCTTTAGCTATTTTTGTTCGCCAAAACGCCAAAGAAGTATAACTTCTTACGTACCTCTTCTCTTCTTCGTACGTTTTTTTTTTTACTTTTGTAAAGCATAAATGTCATTTAAGTGTTACCATAGTAGAAAAAAAGGGTATAGATGATTTCCAAAAAAATACTAGTTAAAGAATAGTGTCAAAGATGAATTATGTCAAAATTGCGAATACTGGCTTTATTTATAAATAAAAAATATATAATACGCCACTTACATGAATCCTGTACGCACATGTCTTCATTTCCCGTATAATTTTTGCCTTTAGTCTCCAAGTTAGCTTCCACTTCGCACCGTTTATTTGGTTTCATTATTAAACTGAAAATAACCCAGTATATATAATTCTTTAACTCAAGTATTGATAAACAATTTTATTATGTTTTTTTTTTCAATATATATACTACCTTGAGGCTGTAGGTATAGAAAGCAATTTACCACACAGAAATCCCCCAATAATATTATCTTATAATATAATATTAAATGAGCAATTCTTGTATATGTAAGGTTTTGCTTTTTAATTTTATCCATATAGGTGTATTTTCTGTAAATCGCAATATTTAAATCTTTTCCAAAAGCGCAGAGCGTAACCTAGTCGCCCAGGTACTTTAAATTAAATATTGTATAATAAATATTGGCTTAAAATGTTCATCATCAGTCATGATTATGACGTACTCCTGACCGATTCCGGCCACGGCGGCCAATCATACTGAGACTAGCCATCTACGCAGGAGATATTATAGTGCCCAAGTGTACACACAGACACCAGTACACTACCTATTCCTTTCATTCTCAAATTTCGGTAGGACGAGAATTCAATCAGACCGGTGACAGAACCAACAACCAACTTCCCAATTCGAACCCATGACCAATCTGTAGCCACTAGACCAAGGAAGCAATCAAAACATAAAAATACATACCTAAAGATCTGTTTCCCCGTCCACAGCATCCTCGGCTTCAAGATAGCAGGTGGTGGCATGTCTATACGCATGGTGCTATCCGGTCCCGCTAACAAACAGCTGGCTAGCTGCTGAGCTTCCGACTTGGTGAAGAAAGTATCCCTTTGGGTGATGAGATAACCACCGGTGATAAAGTCCTGGGTAGCCGCGATTAGCAGTTCACCGTTACGAGGTGTTACCAGATTTGATTTGTTCTGAAAATAATTATTAAAAATTATTTTAAATAGCAATCACCAAACAATTACATTAAAATTTAAGTACGTTTTGAATATGAATATTTATTACGTTTTTGTACACAAAAAATCGCTCTCAATAAAAATCTCATAGTTGAGGAGGGCCCCATTAGCCTCTGGTAGTTCAGGACGTGATGCCAAGAAACATGCACCACGACGGGCGGTGTGCCATGCGGATTGCACCTGATACTTCTCTGATAAGTGATAACAGAGTGGACTGTGGAGCAACCCCGTGGTTGTTGTGGTCTGCCTGAGAAGACCTGAAGTTGAGGCGTTGTATTTGAGTGCGTTAGCTATCCTGAGACACCCCATTTAACCGGGGTAGATTCCGTTGGATTTTAGTGGGTAGTACTGGTTTTTCTTGATGGTAATACATACATAACGTTAAAAAAAGTAATACCCCCATAAGTATGAGCGCCTCGGCTCGCGCCTCCTCCGTTTGCGGCAGGTGCATGTTCATCTCGTCACCGTCGAAGTCAGCGTTGTATGGGGTGCACACGCACTCGTTAAACCTGCGAAAAACAAAACTTCGTATGAAATTATACTTAAAAACGATTGTTTTTTGACTACTTTTTTATTTATTCAAGAAACAAATACACTATAAAGCTATCAGATGGTACTTTATATAATAATTTAATATTATATTTATATACGTAATTCAATCTTCTAATGATCCATATCTGGGCCTGTATCCCTCTTAATGTGAGTGGTACAGGGCTACAGTCCTCTTTCAACAATTAGTCGAGTTCTCTCAGATATGTAGTTTTTCTTTAGTAAGTATGTAGTAATTATGTAGGAAAATAACTCCACTCATGTTTCATTCACTTAATTTTGTTTTAAATAAGCAACTTTTTCAAGAAATTGTGCATGTGTGAAAAAAGTCAGGCTTCAAATGTAGAAAGAACACATAAGTGGAAGAATGCTAGAGAAGAAGAAGCAAGAGACCTGAAAGTGCGCTGCGGCTGCACCCTCGCGCGGTGACACATGATGGACAGCTTGTGCAGGGAGGGCTGGCGGTTGAACAGCACCACGTCCCCGTCCACCAGGTGGCGCTCCACTATGTCCCCGCACTGCGCAGAATAATAACAAATTTGTTAAACACAATAAATATCGTGAGGCGAGACATACTTATATGCAAGAGAGTATTAAGTAATAATCTGGATGTAGATAAAAGTAAAACTTGACCAAGGAAGGTTTAGATGAACTGTGTGAAAGAAGACAAGTGTGTGAAAGAAGATAAGCGTGTGAAAAGTCAGACCGAGATGACGGCTGTTAAAAGGAAATGGAAGAAAGAAGCATGTTGTACCAACCCTATGTAGCGTGAACTAGAGAAGGGCAAGAAGTAAAGAAGAGGGTTCACACAGACAGACACACAAGTAATCTTATTGATTTTGTTTTTATATCAAATTAACTAGTAAATAAAAAAAAACTATTCTAATTCTCTTGCTATCTATTAATTTATTTAAATTCTAGCTAAATTTTTAATTCATGCATATGTGATTTAAGTGAAATTGCCAAAAAATTAAATTGGGAAATAAGAGTTAATCCCCGAATTTTTAACTCTTCGAGAGAATTATTAACACAAACAAATTTATTTATATCTGTCAACAAGTATCTAAATAAAAATAATAATTATAATAAAATAAGCCAAAAATAAACATCCTCACCTTCAACTCCTGCGCGATCTTCTCCCTATTACCATATTTGAGGTATTTTTTGTGAGCGACGCCGCGCTGCTGCACGTAGTTGGCGCCGGGGTGCAGCTCGGGCCCGTTGCACACCAGCTTCCTCAGCCACTGCAGGTTGGCGGGGAACACCCGCTCCGGGTACGTCAGGATTTTAGCTACGTGCACTGGAACACCCACCTAAGTGGGATTTGTATTACGGTTTGGTTTTAAGTTTTATGGATAGGCTTGTTTTATATTACAGAGTCCTGTATTTTTTTTTAATAACGTTTTTGATTGTGGAAAAATCAAATACATACTGTTGTCTAAGTGTAAGCTTTTGGAAACTTAAAATTTACATATATATGGAACCATCTTTCAAAATCGGTTCACAATTGGCGAAGATATCGCATAATAACGACACATTCAAATGAAGAACATCGAATTAGTAATTAAATTAGTTAAATAAAAAATAAGCATAATTAATAATACAAAAAAAATATATATCAAACAAATCACCTCCTGAATTTGAAGGTTGGGGTCCGGCGAGATGACGGTACGGCTGGAGAAGTCCACGCGCTTGCCCGACAGGTTGCCGCGGAATCGACCCTGCTTACCTTTAAGGCGCTGAACTAGACCACGACCTGGTTTTTTTGGCTATTCAAACAAAATGTATATAAAATATTAATCCTACTAATATTATAAATGCGGAAGTTTGTGAGGATGTATGGATGTTTGTTACTCTTTCACGCAAATACTACAAAGTGGATTTTAATGAAACTACAATAATATAGATGATACATCGGAATAACACATATGCTAATTTTTATCCCGGAAAAATGTACGGCTCCCACGGGATAGATTTGTTTTTGTTGAGAGTGAGCCGCTAGAATATAATAAAATATCCTTATAATGATATATAATATGTAAGCAGCCCCTAAGAAATCAAAAAGGAGTAGTAATGCAATATGATGCACAGCTGAGTCAATTGTACCTTATAAATAGTGTTCTTAATTACAAATCCCATTTGAGTAATTATTTTTACATTTTAAAGCTTACTTATTGAGAATATCTAGCATAAGCATAAATAAACAACACGGACGGATCTAAGCAACGTTAATCTTATATATATTTCTATCAAGAGGTATTAGTAAATATGAGTTCCAAAATTAGAATTTCCCCTTCCAAAAATATTCTTATTTCCCCGTTCCCTACAAAAATATTTCTCAAAGGCAACTGTCTCAAATAAAAGTCTCAAATAAAATGAAAATAATGAAAACAGATAAGAACCTGCATGGAAAGTGGTATGCCAGACATTTCACTGTTGATATATAACGCAACGTGCAACTGCAGGTAGTCCCAGTCTTCTTGCACCAGTTCGCTCTTCCCACCGCTGGCCACGTGACGGGATATCACGTCATTGATCAAAAGGATCTCAGATTGCTTCATTGTAAGATCGTCTTCATTGCTGGAAAGTGGAAATATGTTAGTAATATCCTAACACTTTCCACTGATTTCTATATTACTAATATAATAAAATTCTAATTGACATGAGTCAAATCTGTATGTTAAACATTGTTTGGAAAATCTTATTGAAATAATCATTATTATCAATACAGAGGCTGAATCTATGGTTTTTAGGATTAGAAAACCACTGGATGGATTTTGATGAAATTTGGTATGATGATAGCTGATTATCCGGGTCAACATATAGGATACTTTTTACTGCGGGAAAATATCCCATCTCTGAGTAATAAGCTTGGATGTTTGTCTGTATGTTTTTACTTCTTCATGCTGAAATGACTAGACAGATTTGAATGAAATTTAGTGCACAGATAGGAACCTGAATGAAGTAAAGGTAGTTAATTAAAAGTACTTACGTGCCAGCTTTGATATCTGAAGCGACACTAGGCCTTATACAAAGAGGTGGTACTGGCAATCTTGTGAGGATTAGGTCCTCTGGTCTAGATTTTTTTACGTCCATGCCCAATAGTGCGATGTCTTCATCAGGAATGCGCCGAAATAAATTTAATACCTAAAAAAATGTATAGTAATATATAGTAAGGCCGATAGAAATTTAGATATTTATAATTTTACTCCATACTGCACCATGTTTTTACAAAGTCTTTATTTATAATTTATACTAACCTCTAATGGACTAAGCTCAATTATAAGTCCACTGTTGATCATGGTCGCTAATTCCTTGTTAGATTCCTTTGCTTCATTAAAATCACTCAACACTCTGAGCACCATTGGATCAGTTGGCTTTTTAGTTCTATATTTATCATGAATAATCTTCAGTATTCCAGCTGGACTCTTCTTCACTATACCATTGAGGGATTCACAGTATGGGCACTTTGTACAGGTTTTAGCTTTTTTAAGGACTGCCGCCCGAAAATTCTTTTTGTGAAGATAAGATAGTTCTGGATGCATGAATTTACGGCGGAACGTTTTTTTTATGGTCTCTGGAAGCATCACTTTTGCACAATTCTAAAAAAACTCATTTTGTCAATCAATTATTTATTAAGATAAAATATTTATTTCTTTGTAATTAACAAAAAAGTAATTTTATTCCTAATAATTTTATGTAATATTTCATTAATATTTAAAGAAATATATAAAATACAAAGAAATCAAAAGTAAAATAATATCACTTAATAATACCTTGCATATTGTCTGAAGTATAGTGATGATAGATCTGAAATAGCCAACATGAAAAACTGGCAATGCCAATTCTATGTAGCCATAATGTCCAACACACTCCGCCAAGCCTAGTCCACATGTCTCACATTTTGCATCTTTTTGATTTGTACCCTGTACAATACCTTACAACATTAGAAATCATCATTACACATTAGCACAGCTATTAAAATTTTAAAGATATACTCATTTACAAACCATCCGTCTATCAAGAACACCATAGCTTGCTGGCACTCTCTGCCCATCCTGAGCATAAAGGTTTTTTGTAATGACTTGAATATGTGCTGCTTGTTGAATATCAGATGGACTATCCACATTGAATGTTACATGGGAACTAAAAATAGAACTCATTTGTTATGTTTTTGGATATATATATTTTTTATTTTAAATAATAAAGAGATATCAATTGATATGCATAATTGAATTTTGAGTAATATAACATACATTTCAGTAAAGATGGAAATAAGTTAATGGTACAAAGAATTAAATTAACAGTTTGTTAATTTAATTGCAAAAAAATAATTTATAATTTAATCTCTTCTTTTTAAATATATGATCCAAAAAGTAAAACTTGAATATAAACATAACCTCACTTACATTTTTCTGCCGACGTATGTCTCGCGATATTGTTCCTTAGGCATGTTTTAGCACAATTTTTAAATACTTAATAAACAACTTAAATAGAATATTAATCCTAATCTAAAATATCACTGTTTTTCTTCAAAACATTACATTTCACAACTTAAACGGCATTGAATTCGCTTAGTTTCTTTGATATTATGACTGACAATTTATTGACAGCTGTTCAGTGTTTTAGGTTGACAACAAATAACATCAATAATTGGATTCACAGATGCTAAAATTGTATGTGTAAGTGAGAGTGTATCACTATAATCTTTAGTAAAGCTCTATAACGTGGTTGGATTTTTTTCATTTTGCTTAAAAATTAATTACAATGACAAATTGTACCATGCCAGGATGCAAATAAACGGGTATCATTTGTTCCCAAAAGACGAAAACTGAAGAAATTGTGGGCTAAAGCAATAAGACGACAAAAGTTGACAAAATAACAATATTTATATTTAATACTGAATGTAAATATATCATACATGTAACGTCCTTCTTTCAAAAAATATTCCCCAATCTTAAAAACCTTATAAAACCAACATTGTTTTTACTTGTAAGTTTTATCTTTAAAATATTAAAATAAGCAATTTTATAATAGATTACTATATAATTTACGTTTTACAATCTTATTTACTAGTGGTTATTGTCATCCATGGTTAGTACTATCCTTAATTTGAATACTCAGGGTTACTAGCGCAAAACTAACATTTCTTCTAAAATGAAATATTTAAATACAAAGAAATTTCTTTTTTAAGTTATTGCGCATTTGTAAATATAATCTCTTTTTTTAAGAACTATTATTTGGTACTCTTTATTTTCTCTAAAATAAATTTTATAAAAATATTTACCATAATCAAAATAAGCAAAAAGACTAACTTTTATTCAACTTTACATGTACATATATATAATAATATCTTTCACACTTTTAGTGCGTTTCATTTTTAAATTTGTTTTTTATAGGAATATTTAGGCTCATATGCTTATCTAGATGTCAAAGAATAACCTGTAATCTATATCTATAGTCCATATGTTCCATCATAAAGCAGTAACAAAGATACAAACACATATAATATAATAATTTTCAAATATTAACCAAACTTTATTTCATACTACACTAAGTATGTTTTAGTAAAAGCAAGATACCTTTGTTTAAGTTTTAAATACTTTACTATAATCTCAAGTAAATGAAATGAAAATGTGACTAAATATCTAGTAATTTAAATCGATTATAAAATGAAACATAATAATATAAAAATTAGTCAAGCCATAGGGTACCAGATTTCTTACAAAATGAAATATTAGAATTTCTACCACATAGTAGTATTTTTCAAGCTAGCCACCCAGTTCATATGTTTCTGGCGTAAAAAGAAGCGCCTAGCGCGCCGTTTTTTGGCTTGTCAACCGAAACCACGCAACAATTTTCCCTTTTCTAAGCTTGATAAATATTAATATTACACTAATGTTTTACAACAAAAAATACGGCTTTCAATGCGCCGAACGAAGTTAAGTGATATCCATTAAGAGTGTTATCGTAAAATTTATTCAGATACTTTTTCCCACCGCTGTGACCCGCAAACTCTTAACATGCCTCTGTTAAAAAGAAAAGCCTTTGAGAAATCCACGGCGTTGGAGTACTTGCGGGACGATGATGAAGTCTTCCACTGCGAGATTACCGATGAGATATTTAAAGACTATGAGTAAGTAACAACAAAAACATCATTTTCGCGCATTTTGCTATTATCTAAAACAAAATGTATGCTAACAGGACGGTTGACATTGATTCCGCGCGGCAGGCTGAGCATTTACGCGAGCGTGACACAATGTTTCACAATTTTATCGGCGCTCGTCATTTCTTGATGATGTTTATTCAATATTTGGAATTTATTTTCGCAGGGAATATTGTGAAAGGATCATACTGGTCAACTCAATGGTGTGGACATGTGAGATGACGGGAAAGAATAACCTTACATATGCTGAAGCCTTAGAGAGTGAAAAGGCTGCACGGAGATCCTTAAAAGATTTTCCCATGGAACTCCGAATACCAATTTTATACCTAGCAACAAAAACAAAAAGGTGTTCTTTTGCTGAAATGTCTGAGGATGTATTTAATTTTGTAAGGGAAAGATTCTTTGTAGGAGAAACGGTAGAAGCATGTCTGGAGGGAGATATGTGGCGTGAGGCACACATACTCTCTGTTACAGCGCAAAAGCAACATCCAGACAGGTAATATATACAGGTTTATTATTATTAATATCAAGGTATCTTTTTTTTTCAAAAATTAAAAGAACAAAGAATATAATGATTAACATAAGTCTAATTGCAATATTATGTTAAAAATCAATCTTTCTGGAGGAGCTCAGAATTACTTTTTTTCTAACATAGTTTGCTTCATAAATAAATGCATATAATAAATAGCATAAAAGGTCACTGAACTTATCATTATCTTAAACTTGATAATGAACAATGATTGCTATGAAAAAGTATTGTCCTATCAGCTAATTTTATTGTTCACCATGCTTAACATACTTATGTATTTTAGTTTCTTAATTGATGTGCATTCTATATTACTAAAAAATATCAAAAAACGTCATGTGTCCAACTATTGTTAGAGAAAGGATCCTCTGATATATTAAATAAATATTATCTCTACGTTTTTACTTGCGGATTTATGGGTGATACTCTATCTAACCATGATTGCTGTAAAACATTTGCGACGTCGGGAACCAAAAATCTAAATAAATCTACAAAAAAATCTTAAAATGTCGAAAATTCGCCTAAATCGAAGAAAGCATTATGAAGACCCTCCTTTAAAATAATGCACTTAAAGAATATGTACCAGATATATTAACAACTAGTTGTGCCCCGCGGTTTTATCTGCGTTAAATACGTTTGATTAAAAACATCAGTTTTACAATAATGTATGGAAGTCTGCCCGATTTGTTGACATTTGTAATTACTGCTTCGCTCCCTTGTGTAGTAGCGTGTTGATATATGGTCTATAGCCTTCCTCGATAAACGGGTTATCTAATGCAAAAATATTTTTTCAAATCAATCGTATCAGAGCGCGTTCAAACAAACAGCCTCTTTATAATATTAGTATAGTTTACTCAAAATGAGCTGTATTTTCTTTTCTAGTAAAGTCATGCTTCCACCTTCTGCCTACTGCTACGAAGTGGAGCAGTTCGACGAAGACCCGGCCGCTGCAGGTCAGATCGGCACCGCGCCGTACGACCGCGTGCGTCGTCGGAAAGGAGTGTATACCCGGGATAAGAACAGGCTATTCCTTAAACAGTTTGTCGCACCTGGCAATGTTATAGGTATAAAGGTAACTAGAATAAATTTATATTAAAAAACATTTTTAAAAACACGCTTTCACGGAACCGTACATTTTTCATGGATAAAAAGTAGCCTATGTGTTATTCCAGACTATAATCTATCTCTGTGCAAAATTTCAACCAGATCCGTTCTGCCGTTCTGGCGTGAAAGAGTAACTGACATCCATACTCACAAACTTCCACATCTTCTATAATATAAAAATGAATAGCTGAATGTGTTGGTAAACGCAAATCTCGAGAGCAGCTGAACCGATTTCGCTAAATCTTTTTTTATAATATTCCTTGAAGTACGAGGATGGTTCTTACGGAGATAACATTTAAAAAAATTGCCTGAAAACAACCTTAAAACAACACTTCTATACTCCCATACAAAAAAATTGTAATAATAATACTTAAAAGTCAATTTGAACTTTAATACCATACCATAAAGTTTAAATGTTAGTGGAGAGGTTCCGGGAAGGCAAAACAATTGAGTGACATTAGTATCGTATAAATATTAATGTCAATATTTGTCAATATTATTAATAAAAAAAATATATATGGCTAACACTGGCTAATAACTATTTATATCTATTTAAAACATACCTTTGTTTTAAATAGATATAAATAGTTTATTATATATAATATTATTATGGAATGTGTTATAATAAATGGGGTTTATTTAACTTAAACTTTATTTTTTATTTTTTTTCGTCGACACGTTTGGCTCAGTTTGTAGTGATCCTACTTATTGAACCAGTGGTCGCGGGTTCGAGTCCCGCTGGGGGTATTCATTTGTGTGGTGAGCACGAATGTTTGTACTCTAGTCATGGGTGTTTATATTTATAATATGTATGTATTTAAAGTTATATACATGTAGTTTATCAGCTATCTGGTATCCATAACACAATATATTTATTTATTTATGTAGGTATTTATTCATATTCTTCTCAGCAAACCCTTTCATTTGACATCCATATCATATCATATGGGGGTGCAAAAATAAACATAGTCTGCCATTGTCGGGAGTCCGCCATGGTGGATTTAGAATGACATCACTTATCTATCTATGCATTGTCATCTAAACTAAACGTGTATGCAAAATATCAGCTCAATCAGTTGAGGATAACTGCTTTAAAATTCAGTTGCAAGATTTGACCCGAACAAACATTCATACAAACATTGCAAGATAAATAAAAGCTTGTAAAAAATGTCTTTATTAAAAGTTTCTGTGACTTTATAATATATGCATTTTAATTTGCATTTTTTTCATAACAGAAAACAGCAGTAGACAAATACAACATAGCCAAAGTAAACTTCGACCAGATATTCACAGGGAGTCCACCAGATTTCCCTTCATCAAAAAAACTCATGAAGACCAGTATGTCGCCACCCACTTCCTCGAAAATACCAAAACTGGGATCAGCATCCAAATCCCTATCACTAAAGAAACCTAGTCCAGATAAAAAAGGTAGGCAGGAGTCTATGGATAAGTTTGTCACGAAAACAGATAAGTCCGAAGGTAACTAACTTGTAAATCTATGATATTCATAGATAGTTTTCTAAGAAATAATAAACATATCGTTTTTATTACAGTAAAACCAAAAACACCAATGGACCCTGAAGCTCGGAAGTCTGCTCAGGAGCTAGCAGAGAAGATGAGAAGAGCTGAAGATCAGATGCGACAGCGCAGAGAAGAGGAGAAAGCAAAGAAAAAGGAGAAAAATGCACGACTTATGGCATATATGAAAGAATGGCAGAAAGTCAAAGATGATCAGGAATTGGAAGATCACAAGGTAATTTTTGCAAGTACTTTAAATTTTTTTTAGCATGTTTGAGGGGAATGTATTATTAGAAATTAACACGATTTTATTTTCGCAATATATAACGTAAATATATTTGCCGGCAGGCTTTAAAATCTATACATATAATAAAAGTGTATGATCGCTGTCTGTACATGTAAGATTTTGAGAAAAACTATTATTGGAGGTCTTTTGTAACGCCTTCGATAAACAATACTACGATCGAAGCGTAACGCAGTAGAACTGAACACAACGATTTTTTGTTTGTTTATCTGTGCATTTGTGCGTGCTAATCTCAAGAATGGCTTAACCGATTTGGGTGCGTCAATCACCAGTCTATAATAAAAATAAAAAGAGAAGTAATAGTACTTAAAGTGAGAATTTAGCTATGTTTATTAATTATTTTAAACACATGAACTTATGCTTTTAAAATTCATATTCAAGTTAGTTACCAAAAAAAAATTTTTCTATACAGGTTTTACCAAAAGGCACTCCAGTCGAAGTGGAAGGCATTCCACAGAGTAATTTCGGCGACTTCCTATCGGTTTTAGAATTTGTCAACAACTTCTCTGAACTACTGAAGGTTAAGGACGTGTTCCCCAATGAACTGGACATGGAAACCTTCAGGAAGTCCCTCACATCCAAGGAAAATGCTTGGATGTTCAGTGAACTGGTGCAAATGTTGCTCACTACGATATTCTCTCTGCAAGAGGATGAGGCTGAAGAGTATAATGAGAGTAAAGGAATTCAAGAGTCTGTTGGTATGTGCAGTTTTTAAATATTTTTATTTAAATATATTTTTGTATTGTTTACTTAGTGAATTGCAGTATAAAGTCAGTTTTTAGGGTTCTTTACCCGAAGGGTGTCAACAGAATCCTATTATTAAGCCTCCGCTATTTGTCTGTCACATTTATAATAAAATTAAAAAAAAATAGCATCTGAAGAAACAATGTTTAAATATATGATGTTTCTATTATTATAGAAAATGAACCAACAGGCAGTACAGTAGATACACAACGGTCAATCGAGCTAGCAACTAAAGCAGGCAAATGGGCGCACACCTACCTCGGCACCCCGCTCAGCAAGCTGCCTTTAGACCCTACCACTGTCAGTGAGGTGTTGCGGTATGTATCTTGTACACAAGATGTTAGAAAGAGAATAAATAGAGGTTTGAGGGTATTAAAATCAGAATGACAAAAATTGAGAAACAGGAAAAAAGTAACACTTAAAAATGCTAAAGAATATGTAGTATTATTTTTATTATTCACTAGCATTGCCCACGGCTCCGCCCGCGTTCAGATGACCAAAAACTAAATTCTTAGGTGTTACATATTAGTATACTCTTACATTGCAGTTTTTGTATTTTTCCTCAGAAATAAGATATTTTCCCGCGGTAAAAAGTATCCTAGGATCGCGCGCTACATCGCCCGGTTTATATAGCTTGAGCAGGCGGTCGAGCGATGCGGGGCAGAGGGGATGGACTCGCCGTAGGCATCTCAATGCTCGCCAAGCATTAAAAATGTTTCGCTACTAATTACTTCTAACAACGATATCTCAAAAACTATTCATCTGATTGATTTAGTGTAAAGAGCAATTTTAATCTGCATTAAATGACTAAGCTAACTAAAATATTCATTTGGATAAGGATTAATACCGAACTAAAGAAAATAACTTTGAAAATAACGTAATGTTTTTAATTAAAAATGTTAACATAAAAGTGGTTATTGTAAGTCAACCGTAAGAGATAGAGATATGCTATCGCGGACTTTTTTGTAGCATTTTTATAGATTTTGAATTCTCTAGTACATTACTTAACTGTATCTTTGCTAGTTTACGCGGCGTTCGCGTGGAAAGTTCCCATTTGGCGAGATTTTTTGCGACCTCTTCAACATTTGTCGCCGTATTTCAGCTAATTTACATAAAAGCATAATAAATTATATACCTAAACCTTCCTCAAGAATTACTCTTTCTATTGTTGAAAACCGTATAAAAATCCGTTCAGTAGTTTTCGAGTTTATCGCGTACAGACAGACAGGAGGACAGACAGGAGGACAGAAAGACGCGGCCGGGGGACTTATTTTTATAATAAGTATAGATATATTCTTCTCAAACATATTAAATTTATACTTACATAAAAATTTTGATATTCAGTGCAAAATCGATTACAGTAGCATAAACAGCAAAATCACGCTACTATTTTTGAATTTGACATTTTTACGGACTCTTGTATAACTGTTGATTCCGAGGTGTATATTATGTTTGGTCCTGTAACATTCCAGACTGCACCTGCTGTCGTCGGGCGGCGCGGCGGGCGCGCGTTGTGCGGCGTGGCGCCTGCACCAGCGCGGCGGCTACGCCAGCGCCGACGACCCCGCGCTGCGCCTGCGCGCCGCGCGCCCGCACGCGCTGCAGCGCCTGCGCACGCGTCACCTCGCCGACCTACCCATCGGTATGTACACCCAGCTTGTACCTACCGTCTATTATAATATACGCTGCTGAAGTGGAATAATATTCTGACCGATTTCGGTCATGGTGGCTAGCTAGATGCGCATGAGATATTATAGTGCAGCGCGTGTACACGCAGATATAATGTACACTCTATTTCTTTTACTCTCAAAGTCCGATTTTGAAAGTTAGTGCGCAGAACCGATGCGATAAAGGTCAAAGGTTATTCGAGACACAGGGGTACAACACCGCCTTCTTTTTTTATGCCACGTTGGTGGCAATCAGGCATTCATCATCAACACCAGGGGCATGCGAGTTGCCGACCCTTTAAGAACCTATTTACTCCCCTTTTGAAGGACTCTTCTCGACTCCTGACTAACTAAGAATATTTTAACAAAAGACTGTTATTAAACTTGACCCGACCCGGGACTCGAACTCGAACCCAGGACCTCCGGATCTGCAGCTGCAGTATATGTATAATGTACATAATTACTAATTTTATATACGCTTAAGCACGCTGATACGTCGACGTAAATACCCTATATAATAATCCAGGATATGAGTTTTTTTTTGTATTTCTTTCGAATTTTATACAAATCAATTACATTGTCATTATAACAACCAAGCAAGCTTACTTTGGCGATTATATTATTCCCAATTGTGTTGATAAAGAACATTGGTTGAGCTTAATGATTAATCTATACATATAATAAAATTCTAACTGAGTCAAATCTGTACATTAAATATTTTTTTGGAAAATCTTTTTGAACTAAATATTATTATCGATACAGAGGCCGAATCTATAGTTTTTAGAATTTGTGTCTGTCTGTCTGTCTGTTATCGCATCACAGAAAAACTACTGGAGGGATTTTGATAAAATTTGGTATGATGATAGCTGGTTATCCGGGTCAACATATAGGATACTTTTTAGTCTGTGGAAAAATATCTCATTTCTGAGAAAAAATACAAAGACTGCAATGTAAGAGTATACTAATATGTAAAACCTAAGAATTTGGTTTTTGGTCATCTGAATGCGGGCGGAGCCGTGGGCAATGTTAGTTAATTAATAATTAGCCTAAATCTCTTAATTATTGTCTTTTAAATATGAAAAAGGTTTAGTAGTTTATTTAAAGTGCACATTTGACAATGTTGATATCTTACAAAGTACAAATAATCATAACGTTGTTTTTTTCCTTTGTGTCTTCTCCATTGTATGTGACATTGGAGAAGTAATCTGCGCTCAACTGGCACGCTTTGATGCCATTAACAAGAAAATAATTGAATTAAAGAAACTTATTCTTCTAAAATTTATTTGTTGCAAAAATAAAATTAAATATATTTATGTAAATTTCATTGTTACATTTATAATGTTATACAATTTCAGATGATAAGTTCCAAATATTGCAGTGCCTTATGAATCAGATCATGACATATGCGACAGTTCGTGAACAAATAGAAGAGAAACTAGAGGAGTACAAAAATTTGAAGCATGCTTTAAGAACGTTGCAGGTAAATATAATGTTGAAAGTTTGTGTCAATTTAGTATAAACTATCTCTGTTCAAAATCTAAAATAGCAAAGCAGAAACAAAGAAAAAAAACTAACAATTAATATGAACCTGCACTTTTAAAATACTAATGTAATACTTATAGCACATATTCAAGATTATAAATTTACGATAGATTTAGGTTACGACAGAACAATTTTGAACGACGAGACACACAAGGTAAGTCTGAAACATACACTATATGTACAATAAATTGTATGTAGTGTAATTTAAAATAGTATGTATTTAATTTTAATAAAATTAATTAATATACTTAAAAAAATGTAATATTCAAATAGTATATCGAAATCTAATGTACGTATTTTTCAGATAAACGAACGTAAACGCGAACCTCAGCTGTCGGCTGCGAGAGTGGAACTCAAAAAGGAAACAGCACAAAAGAAAGAAGAACTCAAATTAACTGGTGAAAAGGCAAGGGTAGCTGATGAAGAGTTGAAAGATGCGATAGAGAAATTGAAAAAGGATAGCGAGGCTAAGAAAGTGGAGCATGACAAGAAGTTGAAAGAGTTGCAGGCTCAGCTCTTTGACTATACTACATATATTGGTACTTATGATTTTTTGATAGCATTGTTTGTTTAATGGCTAACATGTGTGTATGGCTGTAGATTTCAAGGTCCTGAGTTTGAAATTTGGGTTGCCAACAAAGTATAGATCTGTCAAGAAGTTCTCAGTAACATCCTAAAGTTTCCATGTCCATGTTCTACTCTCACGCCTCAGAGGATATGTTTCAAATTGTCCTCCCACTGGAGTAAGAAAGTGACAGGAACCGTTAAATCAGTACAAATAAATAAATAATAAGAACAAATAAATAAATAAATAAACATAAAGTGCACTTCTGTTTATGCGCATACTTGTGGTGGATATCTGTCTCAATCAGAATAGCATGTTATAGATATACAATATTTGTACTGGTTTACTGGTGGATATTGTGGAATTAAAAAATAAATAAATTGGATAGTTGACACCAATATCATCCATCAGTTGATATTTTTATGAGCTGTCGAAATGTATTTTTTATGGTTAAAGGATAGGAATTTGTGACATCACTTTTTGACCAACTTAATTGAATATTTATAGATAAAAAATAATTTTACAGTTGATTGAAATTTCTATTCAAAAGATTTTCACTTTTCTGGGCTAAAATTAAGTGTATTTTTAGAGAAGTTATATTTCGACATTTATTAATGGTGTAGTTAATTGTAATTTATGTATGTAATTTTCCCGGTCAGGCTCGGACCGCGCGTACCGCCGCTACTGGTTGACGCGGCGCGTGGCGGGGCTGTTCGTGGAGGCGGGCGCGGAGGCGCGCGGGCCGTGCCGCGCCAAGCCGCTGCCGCCCGCGCCCGCCGCGCCCGCGCCGCGCCCGGACGTGCTCGCGTACGTCACGCAGCTCTACCACGACGAGAGAGAGCGCGAGAGGCAAAAGGAGACTGGTGGGCGATTGTTTTTCTTTTAATTAACAGCGATGATTAGCTTCGATTATGTTTTTAATATATTTTTTAAGGATCTTGAGATTCTCGAGATTCTTAGTCAGTAAAATTTATAGCGGAACTCTATAGCCGCGGTACAACTGACACTATATCCCTCGTGGTAGTACCCTATGTGTACTCCAGATCATAATTAAGCTGTGTAGTAAGTTTCAGCGTGAAGTAAACGTAAAAATAACAAACATATACACATACAAATTTTTGCATAATATAAAATAATAATCTTTTGCACATATAAAAGAAAATTATAAAAAAAATATATTATTTATTGACTTTATTATATTTTCTATAACGACATACAAATTTTCCAATGTAAAATAATAATATAATGCATTATTTCAGCTGGAAGTGATAAGGAAAACGAATCAGGTTCGAACTCTCGAGGTGGTTCGCTGAAGAAACCTCTCACCAATCTGAATGGGCTAAATACTAAATTGAATGGTATAGACGCGACTGTACTGCACTGCCGCGAGCTTCTCGTCTGCACTGCGCACATCGAAACGTGCTATGTACATGGAAAGGTAAATAAAAATTAACATACATAGCTAAATTAGGAAAATTTACGATATCCTTAAAATAAATATATTTAAATCAATTAATTGGTTTTCTTTTATTTAAATGATATTTATAAAGTAATAAGCGACTTACTATGGCTTCGCTCGGGTGCGCTTCTAGGAAAATTTTTTTTTTTCTGAAAGTGTCTTCAGGTATATCTGTGTACTAAATTTTATCAAAAATTCATCATCATCATTCAGCAGATTGAGCGTAAAGAAATAACACACATACACTTTTGCACAGATAACAATAGTCCAATTTATGGTATACTAGTGACTTACTCTCGCTTCACTTGGGTGCGTACTGTAATCCGCATACCTAGATGCGGTTTACAGTCATAATTCCATGCTTTTTATGTTTTTTACGCGGAACCATGATTCTTTTTCTAAAATAAAAGAAGCCTAAGTTACTCCTTATAACATCAGCTATCTGCCAATAAAAGTCCCATCAAAATCGGACCAGCAGTTTCGGAGACTAGCCAGAACAAACAGACAGACAAAAAATTTAATAACTTATATTAAAGTACTGTATATTCTTTCATATGCATTTAGTAAAAAAGCTGTTATTTTGATATTACAAACACACACTTCAATTTTATTTATCTGTATAGATTGTAATAACGCTTATTCCAGGGTGACTACAGACCTCAATGGTGGGTGTACAACACAGAAGAGCAAATTGAAGCTCTCATAGAGGCTCTCAACAAGCGAGGTCTGAGGGAGAATGATTTAAGACAAACTTTAGAGATGGATAAATCTAATATAGTGGAGTATGTTAAGAAGTGTCCCATACATCTGTTGACTCCTAGTGCGGCACTTGTAAGTACTTCTTTTGTATAACATATATTTATATTAATTTGAACGTTATTGTAAGTTGACTTATTGTTGAAATATATTGTTATTCAATGGCAACCATGATAGATCAAGAGATAAACTATGTTTTGTTTATGCGAGATATAACAACAGAGAAATGTGTTGTCTCTGTCTATTATATGATGTTAAAATGTAAAAAACAACAATAAATAAAAAGATTAATATTAAATAAACGATCTAAAAAGCAAATAAATGAATATAATAATTTATTATAAATAAATAGCCACAACCACAACAACACGCACATTCGACGCGACAAAAGCGAATACAGCCGTCGCTCCAAGTGCCTCCAGACAGCACACTCTCTGAGGCGCTGGAACTGTCTCTACGAGACCATATCTTAGAGCTTGAAGAGAAGATCTTCCATGGGTGTTTGGGATCTCTCAAAGTAAAGGTACAATTGGTTTTTATTCAGTGTTCACTGCTTTTTTTTCAGCCTTAAATTATTACAATTTTTGACTCAAAGTCATGAGTCTACTACCAGTTCGGAAAGAAAAAGCCTTAGATCTGAGAAGAACTGGCTAAAGATGATACAAAACTTATCCTGTATAAATGATTGCACATCCATTCAACACAATGTTTCTTTATTGATATTTGTTATAAGTTTTCCTGGTCACTGGTAATATTCTTATGATGTACAGTGTAAATATCTGGTATATTAACAATATTATTAAAAACAAACTACATCTATACATGTAATAAAATTGTAACTAAGCCAAACTGTACATTAAATATTTTTTTGAAAAATCTTATTGAAATGGGCATTATTATCGATACAGAGGCGGAATCTATAGTTTTTAGAATTTTTGTCGGTTTGTCTGTTTGTGACCGCATCACGACAAAATCACTGGACAGATTTTGATGAAATTTGGTATGATGATAGCGGTTATTCGGGTCAACATATTAGATACTTTTTACTGCGGGAAAATATTTCATCTCTGAGCTAAACGTTAAAACGTAAGATAACATCAGATTTGCAAAAACATGGTAAATATCCCATTATCGTACATCATAAGAATATGTAATAATATGTCTTTAAAAATGATTTGACATCATAATCCATGTGAATGTGTGGTCAGGACCGCGAGGCGTGGCGCGGCACCATCATGCTGCGCGGCTACGACAAGCAGGCGGAGTACCTCAGCTGGGGCCCCGGCAAGCACTTCAGAGACGACTACCATCAGCCAGACGGACATTTGAAACTGCCCACCGGTCAATATTTTACTTTGCTTATTTTTCATTAATAGCTTTATAAGACGTAAGGGATCATTTGTAGGGAAGGAGAATAAATGTAAAAACAAATAGTATTAAACTACATATTTATAATTAATTAGATAAATTTCTTTTGACAAACTTAAAGTAATACATAAAAGTTATAGTGCTAAATCCAAGATATTTGAATTTTATTTAAATTTGATGATAAACAACGTTTAAATTATACACAGATGTAGATAAATCGGAGATAGAAACGATAGCGGAGAACAAATACCGCGACCCTGGTCACTGGCTAGAGGCACCTAAAGTGAATGGCATTAAATTGGAGCCCGAGGAGGACATCGGGGCGAAGCCCGAAGTCGTGCGGGGGCTCGCCTGCGCGCTGCTGCAGGTGGCTCAGTCAATACACCAAAAGTACCTGAAGAGGCCTCTTGGTGAGTACCACTAAGATATTTTTTTTTAATACTATCTTAATTGACTCTTGCTTATCAAATTAAATTAAAATGTATTTTATTTAAATAGATTTTTACAAGAACTTTCAAACAGTTTTTTTTTATTATTTATAATAATAACATGTTCGTAGATTTACGCGAATATTTGACATTTTAAATAAAATTAATTTTTTCTTTGGATTTTTTCGTGGATTTATTTATTTTGATTTTTGGTTCCCGACATTTATTCATCAAAAACTATTCCAGGTCTCGACGAGAAAGAGCGCAAAGACCGCGAGGCGAAAAACAAGCCCCTGGAGCTGGAAGCGCTGGAGCGGTGGGAGGTGTCGCTGATGGAGTGCCGCAGCTTCTCGTCGCTGGCGCTGCACCTGCTGGCGCTGGACAGCAGCGTGAGCTGGGCGGCGTCCGTGCTGCACGCCGCCTGCCGCCTGTGCCGCCGCCGCGCCGACCCCGACAACATGCTGCTCTGCGACGGCTGCAACAAGGGACACCATTTGTATTGCTTGAAGCCCAAGCTTGCGGTTAGTTTCGGTTTTTGGTATTCGATCGTTGATTCGATCAATTGGCATACTTTTTTTTATTTTATGAGCTGTTAAAATGCGATTTTCCCATGCAATGCTAATTTTAAAGTTGTTTTTAATTGAAATTAATCGAGTTTTCGCGGCTAATAAAGTATTTTGTTTTCGAGAAGTTGTTTTTTGGAATATTGGCTAATTGTGTTTTACCAACTACACAATTGTTTTTTCTACTCAACTAATTTGTAGTATTTTTTAAGTTTGTACGTAAACGATTCGCAAAAAAAGCGTAGACGATGAACGTCCTAGATACAGATTTCAGAAAGATTATGCTCTCGATTGTACATAATGTATTTTATTTTAATTTTATTAAGGAATATTTTCGTTTACAATAGCCGAATTTTAAGATGTAAATGTTGTGGATACTTATCCTTTTATTTAAATTCCCTATTATTATTAATTTTACATCTTTCCCATTTTCTGATTAAAATTGTAAAATTTTACAAAATTATTGTTGTTTCATGCATCCATTCAGTTGAGTATGAAGAAGGTACTGTAGAATTTTATGGACTCTTAGATTTATACTTTTAAAACCGTGCAGTTTTTTTTATTTGTTGTGTTATTATTTTCATAGAAAGTACCTGAAGGCGATTGGTTCTGTGATCAATGTAAACCAAAGGAAAAGACGCCGAGAAAGCGGAGAAAATTGTATACAGAGGAAAAATCGGATGATGCTTCAGATGATAGGTAATTATATATTAAATTGTATTTCTTTGTTTTAGAGAACAACTTATTAGTACTAAATGTTTCACTAGCATTGCCCGCGACTACGCTCTTATAAGTTTTGGTGTGTTGATTAAATCAGACTGACATTTCCAGATATTACACATTCAAATAAAAAATTTTTTAAGCTCTATTATATTTATATAGATTTTACTAATATATATTTTTAGTGATATTATAGTTGACGTCATTTAGTTCAACTTTATTCTCTTGTTAATGGCTTCGAAGCTTGTCAAAAGAGTTCAGATAACTTCGTCAATGTCACATAAAGTAGAAAAAAACGTGTGCAATTATGTATGCATTTAGCCCCTTTTAACATTACACTGCTGAGTACGGGCCTCTCTTCAATAAGAGGGGGATCAGGCCATAGTCTACCTCGCTGGTAAGTGTGGGTTTTCGAACTTCATACATGTTTCGAAAACTTGGTAGGTTCTCTCAGACATGTAGGCTTACGATGTTTTCCTTTACCATAACGCAAGTGGTAATCATGTTAGAAATTATTCGCACGTGACAATATCAGAGGTGCGAGACCCGGGATTCGAACCCGCTTCACTCGGTTACCCGAGCGAGCGCGTTACGACTGGTCTACCACTGCCTAACACTGTGTAATTAAGTACATAAAATGTAACCAAGTGTCGGGTGTCAGTTGCAGCCCGTTGTCGGTGTCGTCGTGCGCGGTGTGCGCGGCGTGCGGCTCCGGCGGGCGGCTGGCGGCGGCGTGCCGGCGCTGCGGCGCGCGCCTGCACGCCGAGTGCGCCGCGCCGCGCGCCCGCCGCCGGGGCGCGCTCTGCGACGCCTGCGCCGCCCGCGCCGACAACAGGGGTAACTATATTGTTATTGTTTACTCATTAAACTATTAATACACACACACACACACATATGTATTTACATCTATATACACACACATTTGCAATATTTTACGTTTATATATGTATAATACCAGCGACTTACATCTATGTGTTATTCCAGATTATAATCTATCTGTGTACAAAATTTCACCATATTCGTCCAGCCGTTTCTGCATGAAGGAGTAACAAACACACACATACAAACTTATACATTTGTAATAGTACTTCAACTCTTGTTGGATATAATTATTTGGATGTTGGCTTAATTATACATATGACTTGTCTTTATGAGAAGTTGTAGAAGGCATCCGTGCGCGAAATATAGAGGGCAGCATTATATCCCCCTAATGTTTTATTCTCGAATATAGTGGGATCAAAACATTCATTTGTAAACACAGAATATTTTTAAAAATAGAATATATAATAAAATATGGTTTTCAGCCAGTTATCAATAATATTGTCAGAATAGTGAGAAAGGTAAAAAATTATTTGAGTCCAACCATGTTTATGGTGTAGTAGAAAAAAGTAATAAAAGTGAATCTGTCTTAACCGCAAAAGTTGTGCCACGAACTAGTCTGTTTATGATATAAAAATTATGGTATGTATAAAAAATTTACATTAAAAATATTTAGTGTAATCAAATAAAAAAAAAAAACATTTTTTCTTGACTTTGACATTATTGAAAAATGATCCCCATATAATCCAGATGTTTGCCACTAGCTGGCGTAAAAGTCTAGATATAAAATAATCCCTATATAAAATAATTTTCTTTCTACAATGGATATTGGTAATAAAAAATTAATATGAATGTGCATTGGCCCGCATATCTGTCCCTTGTGGTTTACTACTATTTTATGAAACGAAACCCAATTAAAATTATAATACGTTTTCTATAATTGAGAGCATTTGATGTAATTTATTAATAATATTTTCATTATAATATGTGTATGTGAAAGGACAATAAATTACATAATAAAATTATTGATTAAATGAGTCGTAATGAAAACAACAAATACAAATATTAAAAATATAATGAAAACTACTACAATTTAAATGAATAATCACAAGAACAATTTATAAAATAGAATGGCAGTATTTAGATGTAATATTAACATGTGGGGGTATTTCTCAAGAGGCGGGCGGGCGCCGGCGCTGCGCCGCGGCCGCCATCTCCCACATACAGCGGTACGCGCGCGCCGTGCAGCGCCACTCCTCCGGTACACCACTGGCTCTGTCTCGCTCCCACTCACATCCCGCTATAGCTTTGTCTCTCTCGCTCTTCATGCGCTTTAGCTCTGTCCCTCTCACTCTCACGTGCGCTATAGCTCTGTCTTTGTCTCTCATGGGGGATATGATGCTTGTTGAGAGAAAATATTATATAAGATGTTGTTTATTAGAAGTAACTAAATTAATCTGCTATAATCCTTGCTCTGCTAAAGGAAGATTGTAGATGTAATTAATTTAAAAAAAAAAAACAACCTTTAAAATATATTTTCTCTACTGGCAATCATTTAGATGTCTTCGTTTGTTTTCATCTGTTGGTGGGCCCCATTTTTTTCATTCGCCTTCTTTCGCTAACAGCATGATGATATTCCATCAAAGTATCATGTTATTGTGCCGAAGTCCAATGTTCATATTAAACTAATGATGTGAAGTTCCTGAGATTGGGGTTTTAAGTTAATACGCAAAAAGTCTAATATTATAATAGAAACTCATGTCGCCACCATATTGTAAATCAATTAATTTTTCAATCAAAAATATATTTTGTTATTAATTATATATATAATCTCTGATTTGAATAAACTAATAAGGTCCCCTACGTCAATATTCAAAATATTAACAGGTGCCCCTTTTAAACTTAAAAGTTAATATGCGGGATAAAATAAAAATAATTAACTGCTGCTAAAATAAAAATGTCTGGTCCATTTGTCTAATCGCATTTGTTTAAGGTTTAACCTCGCTTAACTCCATATCTAACCTACTGTTCATTCAGCCATGGCATTTATTATAATTTATGTGTAACATACACAACACTGTAAAAGCTCATAATACGGAAAAGAACAAACTAAAATTTACTAAACTAATAGAACAATAGGGAATATGCGTGTTTTTTATACAATAGCTTACATAGTTTTAAAATTGTAAAAAAAAGAATATAATTGTAAAAAAAAGATCTAGCTCCAAAAAACTAAATTTTAGTATATATATTTTTTTTAATATCACCGATACGAAACTTTAAACGCCCACCATTTTGGCGTGCTTGGTGTGACGTCATAGTCTATAATAACAGAACCAGTTTTGCCAATTTAGCGATTATGTCGCCAAAAATTATTACATTTGCTTAAGCAAATTTGTAACACTGGCTTTTGGCTTTTCACTGGGTTATTATCGCTAAATTGACAGCATTGGCTCTGTTATTATAGACTTTGACGTCACATTCGATCCAACCAATAGTGTTGCGTTTCAACTACTTTGAGTTTACATTAAAAAATATTGATATAGGCTTAATTCAAAAGCAATAAAGATTATGATAAACAAAATTCACCTTTATTTAAATCACACGCATATTCCCTATTTAGAAATTTACAATTTACACTTTTATGTAGCAGTTTGAGTTTTGCAGTAACATTATTTTATATATTTGACTGAATTTATTGATTGTAATCATTTAAACACAGATTCAGAAGACAGCGAATACAACACGGCTCTGGTGAAGTTGAAGACGCGTAAATCCCGGGGGAGTGAAGAGCCGGTGCAAAATGGCACCGCTAAAAGAGGACGCAAGTAAGTGTGTCTCACTTGTGTTACTTAGATTCAAGAAATCTGATACTGAAAATTATAAAAATATGTCGAATCCAATAATATATCTATCTTTATCTATACAGATAAATAAAATTGCAAGTGTTTGTTCGTAATGTCGAAGTAACAGCTTTTTGATACATGCATGCATATGAAATTATATATTAAATTATATACTTATACCAAAACGCAATTTAAAAAAAAAATTTTCTGCTGGACTGATTTTGACAGAATTTTAACTGCAAAACAGCTGTTCTAAGTTACTACTTAGTCTAATTTTATTCTAGAAAAATAATTAGGGTTCCGCTCAAAAAAATTAAAACAGACCTAGCTACGCACCCGAGTGAAGAGAGGCTAAGTCGCTAATTAGTTATACTTTATTACTTCAATCTCGTGTCGCTCGACTCTTGTTATTTACTCAAGCAAAAATAACTATTTGTTTTTGTGTTATTCGCGACATTCCCGTTGAATTGAAATGAAAAAATGAAATAAAACATTTTCAAAGAAACATTTATTGCATAACATTCTCGTTCCAATTGTATTATGTGATGACATTATCACACAGCACCATCTAGTTCCATGGTAAGCTACGGCTTGGTTATGGATACCAAATAGTTGCTATACTACACAAATATAACCTTAAATACATACATATTATAAATATAAACACCCATGACTAGTATGTACTAACATTCGTGCTCAACGTACAAATGAATACCCCCAGCGGGATTCGAACCCGCGACCAAGCAAGTAGGGTCACTACAAACAGAGCCAAACGTATCGTCAATAGTTTTGTAATTAAAATTTCAATCTCTCCTGTATCTCACAGGATTTTTTTTTCGGCAAAAAAGGATTGTCATTTTCAACTGAAACTATTAGCTGTCAGTGAAAATTTAAGTATAATTTAATTCTCTGTTTTATTCCACAAAAACCGTTTTTCTATTAAAAAGTTAGTATGAAAAGCTGCCAGGATAAGATGTCCTTCTCGTCTAGGTTCTCTCAATATTAGTTAAAGTTCCGTTAAAATCGTTTCGATTTCGATACATCTATCAAGGTGCAAACAGACAAAGGTCTTTTTTTATCTATAAGTAATTATATTACAATCGATACGTAATGTTTATATGTAAAAATACGAATCAGTTAAGAATTAATACAAAAATATAACTTTTATTTCAGATCGAAAGAAATAGTAAATGGCAGCAACAACAGAAGATCTAAAACCCTCACAAATGGTCACGGTGAGAATGTTTTAACCATACATAATATTTAATTACCATAAGCTAATATAATATTAATAATAACAAAATTAATACGGTTATATTAAGTATATAAGACTATTATTGTGTAAACCTTAATTCGTTTGGTTGAACGAGTTAATTTTTTTTACTATAAGCCAAATTTTAAATACATTTTTTTTTGTAATTTATAATGTATTGACATTTAAAGGTAGGTTATCTAGTTTAATGCTACGACCTTCAAACATAAATAAACTCGGAGGGCATTGTTACTAAAAAAATGATATATGATCATCCCTAAAAAAATATTAATTATATGTTAATCAAAACACTAGTAGTTCAGGTAACACACTCGCTCGGGAAACGAAGTGAAGCGGGTTCAGATTCCGGGTCTCATACCCTGGATATTTTCATGAGCGAATCATTTCCAACATGATTGCCCCTTGTCTTCCGGTAAAGGAAATCATCATGGCGAAACCTGCCTGTCTGAGAGAACTTAGCAAATTTTCGATAGACCGCCAACCCGCACTTGGCCAGCGTGGTGGACTATGGCCTGATCTCCCTCGTATTGAAGGGAGGCCTGCGCCCAGCTGTGGAACTGAAAATTAAAAATAGTTGGCATACAATACAAACGATTATCTTCATTTGCAGAAGAACGTACAAGCAAGAAGCGTAACAGGGAGGTGAGCATGGAGGAGCGGCCGCCGCTGCAGCCCGAAGCGCTGGCGGCGCTGCTGCGTGACGCCATGAAGCACAAGGGCAGCTGGCCCTTCCACGACCCGGTCTCCGTTGAAGATGTACGTTTGGAAAATCTGCTATTATATATTATATATTTAAACATAATTATATGAAGTTTCATATATTATATGTATATATTATGAACAAAATGGTGAAATGGGACTAGCAGTCCCAGCCAGGTTTACAATAACATAGCTGACAATAATATGGTAGGCACAGACGGAGATGAGTTGGACTCCTTCCAGAAAGACTGGTCTCTTATGGCGGCTGATTGGGAGCAGTGGCAGAATGAAAATCTGTTCAGTTGTTTTTAAGTTTATCGTGTTCAGACAGACAGACGCGGCGGGGATCTTATAATATGTATTGATGTTAAAAAATGATTGTAATCCAGGTTCCAGATTACCTAGAAGTGATAGAGCAGCCCATGGACTTTACGACCATCAAGAATAAACTGGAGAACGAGGAGTACGAGACGGACGAAGAGTTCCTGGCGGACGTGGCGTTGATATTCACCAACTGTTACACATATAATAAGGATACGCACCCTGTCGCCAGGTGCGTTTCTATTCATTAATATACTTGAATTTTTTATACATTAATTATTACTATGTACTTTGTTTTTAAATGAATTTGTTTTTAAAGCCATAAGAAAAACGGAAAATAAATAGTGTATATATGGCCTAATCATAATGTGACATAGCCTAAATTCCATAAATCATTTTTTACTGTTATGTTTAACGCCATTGTCTTATGTATTTTTCTGTCTCCCATTTTGAATTTATCTCAAATCCGTTGAAATGAAAGAAGCATAAAAAAGTAACAATCATTCACCAAATAAGTTATTAGTGTAAAAGAACACTTAGACAAAAAAGTATAAAAACCAACGTTTTTTTTTTCTAGAGCGGGAATGCGCTTAGAGAAGTACATCACAAAGCGTTGCTCCGAGCTCAACCTGCCTTCGTTCCCCAACACTGAGGGGCAGCCGGAGGAAGACGAGACAGGGCTCAAACCCAAGAGGCCCAAACTCAACTGATGCTCGGCCCCGTCCAGATTTAGTGATTATTTGCTATACTGATGACGGGATATTTTTTTGGGATTATAAAACGTTATGTTACAAAAATACAGTGAATAAGAAATTGTAGTGTACAAGAATTAATAATAATGCGGATCAGTTAATAGAATTGATTAATATTTAAATGGTATAAATTAAAGTGAATGAGTTATGATATGGTAGTTATTCGAAGATGGTAAAATTATAATGCTTAGTACACCAGTTGTCTCCACCGAGGCTAATGACAATGCTTAGTGCTTTAAAATACCATAAACAATTAGTTGTAGTGTCATTGTGATCTGTGAAACTAAACCATAGAGTGAAACAAATATATAAATGCTTGTGTAAAAATAGGTAACTTAGAGGTTAGGACGTTAAATTGTGAATATCGGAACAAAACTTTAGATGTAATAAAAAGTTAGTTTGTAATTTATGTTTAATGAATGAATCGGGTTATTAACATGGGCGTAGTTGTTCAGATGTAAGATCTATTTTAATATACTAGTAATGTTTATTTACAGCTTCTATTTCATTATGTTATGTGTGAAATTGACACTTAGCCATTTAAAGATCGAAATGTCTTTTTAGTAGTCATTATCAACGATTCAATGCATGTGATAGACAAACAAACATTATATTTATAGTCATAGCAATGCATTTAATTATATTTATCATATATAGTTGGGTGTACTAATAACTCAGTTTGTACAGGGCTATATACAATGTCTGTTCAGTGTACTTTGTTTTTCAAATATAACAATATTCATCAAGATCAAGATATTTTGTATGTTCTTATAATGTGATAAAAGTAAAGTGTAAAATGAGAAATCAGTGATCCGTTACTGAGTGAGAGATAATGACAGACAAACGAACACATTGTATTATATGGTGGTAGGAACCTTCCTAATATTATAACTACGCCTATGTTGATTGAAAAACTCACAATAGGGTCTTGGACTGTTTTATGAAAAGTATCTCAGCCTATTGTTTACATAAATAATATGCTGCTAAAAATATTTTCCCGCAGAAATTACTATATTATTATGTAAAAAAATTGAAAAGTATTTTTCACTTTTGAATATGGCGCTAATACGCCACTCTTTTAATAATCGTCGAGCGTGACGTCACTTATCATACAGAGCGTGTGTAGACTTTAAAGGGCTCGATTATATTCCGTAATCTGTGGGCTCGATCGATTAATTATTAATTGAAAAGGGAACAAGTATATCGAAAATGAGTGCCATTAAGTATTATCAGTATTGTTCAGTGCTTATACCTGTGCCTCATGATAAAAACATGCGAAAAATATGGATGAATCTGGCAAGGCGAGATTGGAAAAACCAATCCATAAAATCAATGATTAACGTCTGTGAAGATAATTTTGATGTAAGTTTAATGTTTAAGCATTACAATATAAAATATTCATTGGACTATACTTACGTATTGCCAGACGCGACACTGGTCACTGCTGTAGGTATGCACAGATCTAATAATACTATACTAGACACTAGTGACAATGATAAGTGACGTCACGCACCGTAATTGGCGTTTGTAGTCACGTGATTTTGATATTAAAAAAATAATTCATTATGTTAAAAAGAAATAAAAATCATGATTTTTATTTTATTATTCCTTATAATAAGAATTCTAGCTCCATAAACTACCGCTTTACAAAACATCACATCTTTTTATTACTACCGTCCAAGACTCCATTACATTAAATTGTTGACGATAAAGACGGCTTCCGTGCCTTCACATTACTATATTTGTAGCACATTCGATAGACAATTCAAGATCCGTGCGCTAGTTTCGTAAAGTTGTAGAATAAAAACAATATTTTACACATATATATGACTAACTGTTTGTAACTCAAATTAAATTGTTTTCCTTCTTTTTTTGTTAGTTTAAATTTTGTGCTCTTTTTTTGGTTCACTATTAAATTAAAATGGTTATATTGTTTAACCAGTAACATTGCATTTATCCTTTTATGTAGTTCTTTAATGTTGGGCTTCAATTAGTTTATGGAGAGAAAAGGCAAGGAAGTTAGGTTTTTATCCATCCAAAAACTTTTTAATATGGCACGGAACCAAGTTGAGTGTCCACAGAGTATATAGCATATGCTATAGCATACATTGTGTCAGCGCCATCTTTAATGAATGGTTTTTTCATATTTCTTAGATAGAATTCCTCGCCTTTTAACTTCATAATGCAGCTCTTTTGCGGGTCAAAAGAAGTATTATTTTATCATTAATTATTAGTTAAACAAACACACGATTCTTTTCCATGTTTTACTTTGTTCGTTGCAATTTTTGATTAAATTAAAAGAATCAATGTAAATTTAATTATGTCAGCAAATTATATATAAGTGCTCTTATCTTAACCTTGTCTAGCTCTTAAAGTAGACTAGTAATTAGATAAAATGTCATTTTGAAATATGATTTTTTTTGAGCTATAGCCGATCGATATTGGAGAGAAATGCCAGCGGGAAAGAGTATAATGAAATCTTTTTTTTTTCACTGATGTTATTTTTGCTCAACATGTTTGCTACTGCTATATCATATATATATTGCATTATCAAGACACGCGGTAGGGTGTCTAGCCAAGTTCAAGCGAAACGAACTGGCGACGCAGCACCGTGTCTATATTTACACTACCCATTTGGAGCCACTTTTCACCTCGTAAAAACTCAAAATCTATCTAACGTAAACTCATTAAATTTGTTTCATATATTAAATCCCCTTAGATTAACTAGAATCACCAATTAAAATCAAAATAAATTCGCGAAGAAATCCGAAAAGATAGTTTTATTTAAAATGTCAAGAATTCGCGTAAATCTAAGAAAGTATTATAGAATCACCAATTCCATAAATATAGCTCAAACGGTTATTGAGATATTAACGTCTAAAAATCGGGATTTTTATCACTGACTGACATATAGAAATACCTAACCCACTTCCAGATGACCTAGAAAGTTGAAATTTGGTATCCAGATGGGTAATCGTGTGCATACAAAGGGAAAAATCCGAAAACAGTAATTTTTTTAAATTTAAAAGAGTAAAAACTTTTTTTAACGCCTTGCGCCTTCCGAAACATAGTAGCAATAGCTTAACACCTAGTGCCTTTTGAAATCTAATAGCAATAGCAATCATAGTAATAGCAAAAAAAAAATCTTTCTCAGGACAAAACGTTCCATGACATTTTCCTATTTTGCCTTATCCACTAACGAATAGTCGCAAAATTATAAAAAAAAAGATTGAATTTACATGTCACTTTGGAATTATGTACAATAATAGTCTCTTTACAAAAAGTCATGATATTCCATCAAAAACATAAATGTAAAAATGGGAGCCGAGTTCAATATTAAGAATAAGCGTGGATGTCAATTTAAGAAGTTCTATTTTTATAAAATATAAATAATAGCAAACACTTTTGTAGCAGAAAAAAAAACAAGAAATTGTGTATGTATTAAATTTTGTAAATCGTGTATGTTGTATGTTCTTATGAAAATATTTCAGGATTATCTATAGAACTTGGCCCCATTTAGATCTCAATTCTTTTGTTGGTGAGTTGACATCTACACTTATTCTTAATATTGAACTTGGCTTCCATTTTTCCGTTTACGTTTTTGAGGGGATCCTGTTATAAATTAATTTACTTGTTTGCATATAAAAAGTAAATTGTTCGCCATTTTTTATAAAAGACAAATCTCCAGAATAATGACGTATTGGGCATCTTTAGATGCTTCTTAGTTAATATTTAACCTTTGACCAATTGAAGCTTTTTTCTTTAATAATAATAGGTCTAAGGCATGCAAAAAGAACCTTTCAATAAAATTGTAATAAATTAATTTTATTGTCAGAATTTCAAACATTGATATTTATGAGTGTTGTGTATTATTAAAATAAAATTAATTAATCTATGTAATTGGTCATATTTTTGCTTATAATGTATATAAAGGGCATGAAATGTTATGTGGTCGGTCTATTTATAATATGGGAAAGTAAATTATAGAGGTTATTCTGTGTCCTGTAGTTGTACTTATACCTTTTGTTGATGTCGTAATTGTGAAATGTAGACAAATTATTTTATAATATAATAAACCTATGTCCAACTTGAAAAATGGCTTCGACTGATTATAATATATAGATATCTTAGTAATTGAAAGAGAACTCTCACATACATGAACAGTCGACGCTTCTTTTTCATTTTACTTGAATTAGCTAGTTCACAGCATTATCCAATAATTTCAAACTAACTTTTTGAAAACAAACATTAGTTTTAGCCCTAAATATCTGTTCATTTTTAATTAATTATCAAATTAGATTTTTAGTTTTAAATCTATAAATAGTCGACTTGGGAAATGAGTGACGTCACAGGTTGCCATATAAAATCAATGGGTAATATATAATAAATAGCCTTTTGTATTTATGTCAATTGATCAATGGTGTCAACTACTCAATTGTTTGTCTGTCGCTATACAATAACTTATAAACTGATAGTTTCAAATTGATGTACCCTTTTTAATGAAACACAATACTTAATCACGTAACTATGCCTTATCAATAACATGTAAAAGTTAAAATTAGGAGTTCTGCCAACAATATTGTCATCTGTTATCTTTGTGTACATCAGTTGTAATTTTGATGTGAAATATTAGAATTTTTGAATGACAAATTTATATTATAAATAAAATTATCGACATAGATTTAAATAGTAATTTGAACCATGTTTAAAAGAATAGTGACACGCTTGCCTTATTAATAGTAAAATGCAGTGCCTGATGAAATCTGAAATGAAGCAACTACCGGAACAAAATATATGTGGTATATTATGTACATGTAAACACTAATGTATACTACTCATCTCAACACATGGAGATTATAGACAAGGAGTGTGATTTCTGTATGTACAAGTTGTCTCGAAATTTTTAAAAAATAACAGCTCTGTTGAAAACTCCAATAGAATCCCATCAAAAGCGACAAAAGCCACATAGAAACCAATACATATTTATTTACATATATTTTATAACATATTTATTATTATTGGAGTTTTGAAATAGGGAGTGGCCGCGCATATCATTAAATTTACACTGATTTGTTTATAACTAATTTCGCGCTACTACTAAATTCGCCTGGTAACTACGTAATAAAACGTAAAAATACGTAGAAAACTGCGCGACTCGTGGCAGTTTCTCGAACGAATGTTTCTCGAATAGCTCTAAAAAAATTTTGCGCACGTATTTTTCTTATGAAACCTTATGGAGATTGGACTCCTTGTCTATATTATTCATGTCTGAACAAATCAATGTTTACATTATTTTCTATAAATTGGAAGTTATTAAGCTTAATAAATGTTAAATAATAATTTACCATTCTGCACTGTTTTTTGCAAATTTTGATAGTGTTCGGATTTTGCACAGATAAAATATTACATGTTAGCTTTTTGGAATTAATTTTTATTGAAGAAAACAATTTTTTGCGGTGAAAATGGATAATTTATTATGTGAGCAACATGTTTTCCGTTCACTTGTTTACTTTATGAATCGGGACAAAAAGATTAATAAAACAATCGTTTTTAATATTTAGCTTTAAGAAATTAGTTTGTAGTAAAGTAAATTCCAATCTTGTAAGTGATTTTTCTCACCCATTTTGTTATTATTAATTTTTTTTTGGTTATTTAATTGTTCCGCATATGGGTATGTTTTGTTTTTTTAATTTTAATTTGTACTTTACAAGCCTTGCGCTGGCAAAGTGGATATTTATTTTTTTATTATATTTGTTGGTGATTCTGGCAACCCAATTTATTATTATCAAAGCATTCCTTTAGGAACATAGCGGTCTTTTAAAGTAGCATGTTGGCTTCATCAATCATTTTTTGTCTGCAATTATTTATTTATGTAATTTATAAGTTTTATAATAATTTATATTGTAGTAAATAAAGCACCTGAAAACGCAAATTGTTCTTATTTTTATACCTACATACGTATTTTATTAATATTCAATGTACTCTGTGACTAATATTATAGAGGTAAATGTTTGGTTGGTATGTCCATAAAAATATTACCTACCCTACCCCAGCCTGCAAATTTATGATATTTGCAATGAAAAAAATACTAATCGATAGATTTTCAATAGCTCAATTTAACTAGGTAGCCCTTTCAAATTGCTCACCTTTAATTATTTAATTAAAAATCAATAAAGTCTTTGAAAAAAAAATAATTTATCTGTATATTCAAACTCCTATATCTTTTGATGTATACAATATTTCAAATTGCTCAAAGTTCTAAAACACTGCTCAAGTTGCATTTGTAATTGCTTAAGTAGAGTTTTTACCAGCTCCACTTTCGCTGATTATTAAATAATTAAAAGTATAGTTGTAATAAATGTAACGTAACGTAGGTTAAGTGAGCGTGCGCATGCGCACCGCGCATTGTCGGTCGGCCTCGGCGGGCTTGGACAATCGTTCCAATTCAACGTCTTAATTCTGTTTCTCGGTGGATTTCTTTAAATTTATTGAATTTATGAATTGTTCACATTACGTGATTCCGTTACGTTAAATTTATTCAAACTATTTATATTTATTTAATAATTAAGGAAAGTGGAGCTGGTGAGAACTCTACTTGAGCAATTACAAATGCAACTTGAGCAGTATTTTAGAACTTTGAGCAATTTAAAATAGTGTATATATCAAAAGATATAGAAATTTGAATATACGGATAAATGATTTTTTTTTCAAGGACTTTATTGATTTTTAATTTTATAATTAATGGTGAGCAATTTGGAAGGGCTACGTAGTTGAATTGAGGTATTAAAAATCTATCGATTAGTATTTTTTTCATTGCGAATATCATAAATTTGCAGGCTGGGGTAGGGTAGGTAAAAATATTGCTCAATTTAAGAAAGTGATTTTCATAACCTGAATACTAGAAATAAATATATACTTACAGCACCCGTTACTAGGCTCCGTAAAGTTAACAATTCATTCATAGGTAATTCTGTAAGATTTTATAATAAACTAGCATTGCCCGCGGCTCCGCCCGCGTTCAGATGACCAAAAACCAATTTCTTAGGTTTAATATATTAGTATACTCTTACAATGCAGTTTTTGTATTTTTCTCAGAAATTAGATATTTTCCCGCGGTAAAAAGTCCTATATGTTGACCAGGATAACCAGCTATCATCATACCAAATTTCATCAAAATCTCTCCCGTAGTTTTTCCGTGATGCAATAACAGACAGACAGACACACAAAAATTCTAAAAACTATAGATTCGGCCTCTGTATCGATAATAATTTCTATTTAAATAAGATTTTCCAAAAAATATTTATTGTACCTACAGACTTGGTATCGTTACAATTTTATTAAATGTTAAAATTAAATGTATTTATTTTTTAGTATATTATGACATGTACAAAATTAGTTACGAGTTATTGACAGTGATAAGTAATCGTCCTGATTCTATCAATAAATGATTTTTTTAAAAGGATTTATCGTAATAAATAAATAACTTTATGCAGAAGTGCACGATCTCGCGTTCGTTCGTACACGCTGTTCCAGCCTTTGCCTAGAGTCCGAACGGTGTTGTCGTCACAGACTAAGGAGACTACAGTTGTCGTAACAGTTTCTAAGTAGGTAAAAAGCAACCAAATTTGCATCATTAATATGAGCTAAAGTGCTTAATAGCTCGATCAAAGGTTTAATTAAATAAATTGCACTGAAACATATAGCTTTTTTACTTTATGAAATCATACTGTTTATTACTTAATAATATAAAAGAGGGTTAATGAAAATAATTATTTAAATATTTATTCCGTTAGTTATCCAAGGGTATCCTTGATAACCTAGATATCCTAGATATTATGTTATAATTTTTACAATTGTCCAAATATAAATAAAATATGAATAAAAAAAACACTTAACTAAGGCATGATTTTATTCATAATTACACTTATTTAAATATATTGGATTGCAGAACAAACAAGAATGTTAATGATGTGCAGCAGCTTCCTTCTTCCTCATCTCAGCCCATTTGCTCACATTCTCAGGGGAATTAGCTATGGAATAAAACAGATTTTTATATTTTAAATAAATGTACACTATTCATTATCTATTTAATAGTGAAATGAAAAGGTGACTATTAAATATTGTGTATAATTTTTCCATTATCAGATATGTGGATGTTTTTTTAAGCCCATTTCCTAATCATTTGGGGTTGGTGCAGTACATCTCCATCAATAAATAAGTATAATACTTAAATTGATTAATACTATTTATTAAATCCAAATTGTATGGTTAAACAATTTTATATGTAATGGCAAAGTACTTAAGTACTTAAAACTTTATGTTTTAATTTTTAACTACCAATCTAATATATAAAAAATTATATTTCTTTATTTGTTCATATTTCATGTGCTGACTGATTGTGATAAAACCTAGTCATCTTATTGCTAGCACTTTTGCAAAGGTTATAGTACAATTAACTGACAGTAAGTGGCATACCAGCAAATATATTTGAAAGAGAATATTTGTTAAAAAAAAATATTTTCATATGTTTAAATGGCAAACACTGGATATACCTTAACTAATATCAAAAAAAGAACTAGAAAATTGGTGGTCTTTATGTGAACTACAGAAAATTCTATAATAGTATGTATGTTCTATAATAGTATGTCCTAAAGTACACTCAGAATAACTGTCATCTAAAACGTAGCTATAGACGCATCCGAGCGAAGCGAGTGTACATCGCTAGTATATGAATATGAATGTCGTATATAGTATATTTTTCTATTACTTAATACATACCCATTTTGTGGATCTTGTAGAACACGGGGGTGGCTACCGCGATTCCAATCATCCAGTAGCGCCAGATCCATTGATTCTGAACGTAGAATTTGAAAGGGAACTGCGCGATCTTAGCAGTAAATGTGTAAGGATATTTCATGGGTCTCGCGGGAGTCTCCGACATCCTGAATGATGGGCTGTACTACAGAAACATCATTATGTAATAATCGAGTTTACCTTCACTGATAAACTTTATATTGATAAATTTTTGTATAATACAGAAATTACATTACATATTTAAAGATATCTAATTAATGATCAGTTATATTAAAATTGTAGCACAAAATTCAATTAAAATAAATCTAACCTTTACTCTGCTCAAGAACTATTCAAAACCACAGTGGCACAGACTGCTCAGAAACGAATTCGAAATTTTGATCGAAGCAATGACACTTGACAGCAAAAAGTCAATAATATGTCAAAATATTCCAACGTAAAGTTTGAAGACAGTTGTAGTAGGCAAGGCACTGATAAATCCTACTTTTAAACCGACTTCCTCAAAAAAGAGGAGGTTCTCAATTCGACTGTATTTTTTTTTATGTTTGTTATCTCAGAACTCCGTCATGTATTAATCGATTTGAACAATTTTTGTTTTGTTTGAAAGGGTATACTTCCAGATTGTTCCTATTTAAATTTCAAAAAAAATACCACCCCTAGGGGTGGAAAAACAGCTAATGACGAATTTAACCTACTTCTAATTGTCATATTGACTTAAAACTTTGCAAGTTTTTCTATTTCCGTTGATAGTACAGTTGTTCGGTATTGTTGACCTGATCTGATGGTGAGGCCAGAAGGTGGATAGGTGGAACTCTTCCACGGCTAATAGTAGATACTTTGAGTTTGGGCTTATTTTGTTTGATTTGACAAGCCTAACACGTTAGAATTCTTACTTTGCTACTTCTGTCTACACTAAAAAGGGAAAAATAAAAACTTTTTAACAAAAAAATAAAAACCGACCTTAAACAAAAGCACTAAAAAGTAAAAAATAACTGATTAGTAGTTTTCATTTACTATACATAGTAGTAGGGGAGCCCAAGAGGGGATTTTCTGTAGTTACTCGAGCGCGGCAGATTAACATAAAAGTGGTTTCCTTGCACTCTATTGAGTACTTTCACCACAATATAAGTCTTCTATATAAAGGGGCGCGTCTAGGGAAGCCGATTAAAATATTTAAAAAATGTTTTGATAAGGTAAAAATACTTGAAACCGTCAGATTAAGGTGTGGTAGGCTAGTCACATCCTGAAAAGTGTCCAATTCAATAATCTGCCGATTTGCACAAGCCGAAGAGGCAAAAATCGACTATAAATTTTATGATGATTTTTGCCTCTTCGGCTTGTGCAAATCGGCAGATTATTGAATTGGACACTTTTCAGGATGTGACTAGCCTACCACACCTTAATCTGACGGTTTCAAGTATTTCTACCTTATCAAAACATTTTTTAAATATTTTAATCGGCTTCCCTAGACGCGCCCCTTTATATAGAAGACTTATATTGTGGTGAAAGTACTCAATAGAGTGCAAGGTAACCTCTTTTATGTTAATCTGCCGCGCTCGAGTAACTACAGAAAATCCCCTCTTGGGTTCCCCTACTATATAGTTGAAGTCGGTTTTTATTTTTTTGTTAAAAAGTTTTTGTATTTATTTTCTGTTTTCCAATGGGGAAGACTTAGAGTATACATATGCTATAGAGCGCGCGTGTCGCTCATTATCCATTATGCGAAACGTAAACAGATGTTCTATACACACCTATTGTAGATGAAGCGGTTGAATAGTGATGCGCCTAGTAAAACTTTTAGAATTTAATTAAAAAACTAATTAAAATAAGGGATTAATGATTGTATGATACTTTGTCTTTCTTTATGTGCAATACATAGAAAGAGGTATTTAGCTGTAAAATAAAAAATAAGAAATATTTTTATTGGATTTTTGTCGAAATTCATCCCTTAAAGGTGTAAACGGGGGTAATAAAGTTTACAAAACCAAAGAATTATTTATGATCACTTATGATACTTGAAACTTGGTACAAATGCTTTTCAATACATTTGAATAAATACATGTTTTAGGATTTTTGAAAATTCAACCACATAAGGGGGTAAAATGGAGGATAAAATTTTGTATGAAACTCTGTAAAAAAAATACCAGTAGACGATTTAAGAGTTATAAAATTACTTTCTTTTGAATGATGTCCACATAGCCTTAAATATAAAGATTGTGATTTCACCAATTTTGATATTCTTTTTGCTTTAGCCCACAATTTCTTCAGTTTTTCTCTTTTGGGAATAAAGAGTATCAATTTTCTTTAAATTCTGGCACTGCACAATTTGTCATTTTAATTAAATTTTAAATAAAATAAAATAAATACACCTACGATAAAGAACTTTACAATATACTGAGGACTATAGTAATTACGACATCTGGCGGGAGAAAAAAGCTAAATGCTCCTCCATTGGAAATTCCCTTTTTAATAATATTTCACACCATTCTTTGTCATATATTAAGTATAAAGTTTATTTAACAATGTATTAAAATAAATGAAAAATATCTTATTATAGATTAAGAATGTAACTTATCTGTAAACTAATATTCAAAACATTGCAAGCTAAATATCTTTCTCGCGTTCGAAGAGTTAAAATTTTATTTAAAATTTCGATCACTTATATAATTTACATAACGCGTCTTTGAAATTAACGTCTCTTCCCTGATGCAGCATAATATGTGAATGCGATGATACTTTAGAGAATATTTTATTTTTGCCATATTTGTAATGTGGTATGCATGTGACGTAATATATATTTTTTTAGGACAACACTGACGTCCATTGTTATGAATTGTTGCTCTACGTCCCGTCGTCTGTCAAGTGAATCAAATAAAATGTCAATTTGCTTTGTGGTGTCGCATTCGCGTTCAATGTAAGTTTGCGAACTAAAAAAGTTATTGACAATATAATGTGTGACAATGGCCTCTGTAAAAGTGGCTGTAAGGGTGCGCCCATTCAATCAAAGGTAAGAAGGTGCATTAGTCATCAAAACGTACCAAACGTTAGTTAACAGAATTGTAATAGAATTCATATTCTGCTATCAAGCTTATTATCATTAACAAAAGCTCCAAAAATATTTTATGTGGGTGTTATTTAGGCATGTACATAATACAAGATAAGCAATTAAGTTATTATAAATTAAGGGAATTCGAAACCTACCAAGTTTTTGAAAGTACAAAAAGACAATGATGTCATGAAACGGCAATGACTTTCACGGTTCGGCTGCATTTAGAACACAAACTGTACCTTAGCAAAGTATTTAAATGAAAGTTGACGAAAAAATGCCTAAAAACCTGACCTAAATACTGCCCTCTCTAATTTCTTGAATTTTGGAAAGCATTGTAAATCTATAAGAATGTGGTGTTTACAAACAAGTAGAATGAATGCAAACATGTTTGTAATGATAAATAAATACGAAAATAAATATAAATATTTAGATAATACTTTGTGATTTATCTATTACCATTGAAAATATCCCAATTTCTGTTTTGATAATTTATTGATATGTTTTTTTAATAAATTAATAAGATAATGAACTCATTAATTCGAATGGAATAAGTTCAATTTAGTATACTTAATCAAAAGTAAACGAGTTAAGGTAAATGATAATTAAGAGTAACCTTTTATTATATATTGATGGCCAACAAATTTAATTGATTCCTAGTCCCTAGCTTGATTCCCCATACAAACTTTCATCCCCATTTCCAACCCCTTAAGGAATGATTTCCGAGATAAAAAGTATCCTATGTCCTTCCCAGGGTCTCAAACTATCTTCCTACCAAATTTCATCTAAATCGGTTCAGTAGATCCAGAGATTACCCCCTACAACATCACAAACTCTCAAACTTTACCTCTTTATAATGTTAGTATAGACAGAGAAAACATCAATAACTAAAGACTATCAAGTAGTACATGAAATAGTAATAATAGTATACTATATGTCGAAGAAATATGAATGGGGGAGGGTCTACAAATAATACTATGCAATACTTTTCCTGTCTTTATCTTTAAAAACTTGCTAATTTTGCACTGTAGTAGATTAAAACCTAAGCTCTTTGGCCAGTATCCATATATTAAATATTTTCTCGAACCAAAAGTAGAGTGATGATAATGCTGAAAATGATTTGCATATGAAAATACCAGAAGCATAAGACCAAGGTTTGAATCTGCTTTTCTTGAAGTTTCCAAGGGAGTGAGATACCACAGGGCTACCATTTCCTTTATTGTATTTAATCTATTCTATAGATCTTAATTTGAAGTAAATATACTATTTTCAACCGACTTCAAAAAGGAGGAGGTTCTCAATTCGACTGTATGTTTTTTTTTTATGTTTGTTACCTCAGAACTCCGTCATTTATTAACCGATTTGAACAATTTTTGTGTTGTTTGAAAGTGTATACTTCCAGATTGGTCCCATTTAAATTTCAAAAAAAAATACCACCCCTAAGGGTGGAAAAATAGCTAATGATGAATTTAACCTACTTCTAATTGTCATATTAACTTGAAACTTTGCAAGTGTTTCTATTTCCGTTGATAGTACAGTGGTTCGGTATTGTTGACCTGATCTGATGGTAAGGCCAGAAGGTGGATAGGTGGAACTCTTCAACGGCTAATAGTAGATACTTTGAGTTTGGGCTTGTTTTGTTGGATTTGACAAGCCTAATACGTTAGAATTCTTACTTTGCTACTACTGTCTACACTAAAAAGGGAAAAATAAAAACTTTTTAACAAAAAAGTAAAAACCGACTTCAAACAAAAGCACTAAAAAGTAAAAAATAACTGATTGGTAGTTTTCATTTACTATACATACCTAATCAAATATATTCGAAGTCGGTGTGCTTTGGCTAAGTAATTAAAGCCTACCTATTAAATACATACCTAATCAAATATTATCGAAATCGGTGCCAGGCCATATAAAGCAAAGCACACCGACTTCGAATATATTTGATTAGGTATGTATAGTAAATGAAAACTACCAATCAGTTATTTTTTACTTTTTAGTGCTTTTGTTTGAAGTCGGTTTTTATTTTTTTGTTAAAAAGTTTTTATTTATAGATCTTAATTTATTTATTGTTATTATATTTTATTACATTTTAATCTTATATAATTAATTTTAAGTATGTATGATATTTATAATTAACATTACATATTCTTTTGCAGGGAGAAGGATATGAATGCCAAGTTGATTGTCCAAATGGAAGGGAAGAAAACAAGACTGCTTGCTGTGAAAGTAAGATTAAAATAATTTATTAATCTTATTATTAAATTTATATTTGTAAATAATTAAAATTTTATTTAATTATTTCATCAGAGTAAATATTGATATGTACTTGGCCCTTTCTAAAGTCCCGCTGCTGGGCACGGGCATCCATTCAATATGAGGGGGATCAGGCCATAGTCCACATCGCTGGCCAAGTGCAATTTGACGGACTTCACACCGTCGTCTTTCGAAGAAAATTTGCTAGGTTCTCTCAGACATACAGGTTTCCTCCCGATGTTTTTCCTCACCGTAAGACAAGTGGCATTAATGTTGGAATGCATTTAAATTGGTGCGAAACCTGTATTTAAACACTCTTTTTTCGGTTTATCAAGCGAGCGCGTTACCACTGGGCTACCACTAGATACCTATTGACATGTACAATTTTAATGTGTATGGACAAACATCAGTTCTGTCCCTAGAATATAGACATCTTTATATTCCTTAAATATTGATCTTAGATTAATTTAAATGAAAACTATATAAAAAATTAGTATGCATAGACAGACAAAACATTTTACTTTTTAGTATAAAGTAAATACATTAAATAATCGATTACTTTTAATGTCGATTCGTGTTCTATTTTAGTATCCCTATAAAATTCGCAATTATAATCGAATTACGATTATGTAAACTCATGTTGGAACAGATGTTGGACAAAGTATCTGTGTTTACTAAATTTTACGTCATGTCTACATTTTTAGCTTTGACGTAGTTTCTATGAACAGTACCATAATATTATGTTGTTTATATAATGTCACCATCATATCTTTCATAGTCACTTTTAACATTTTACCTATTAGAAGATAGTATAACTCACTTTTCATTCCTTACAATTTCTCCTTAAAATTTAAATATTCTATTATATGTTATGATTTAGACTTAATTAATTCTACACCGACAGGTATAACAAGTGTTAATTAATTTTTGCACATCCATTAGTAGAGCCTATTGAAAGATATTTAAACAAAAGAATTTGAGAATAGATTTTTTTTAATCTTCACGATATGTTATCTGGTAAAAATATAAATAAATTTAATAGTGTTTCTATAATAAATTCTCCCATCGATTGGAACGAGAAATCCAATTAGGGGACAAGGACGTTTATGTCTCAAAGCCTGCAATTTGAAATGACCTAGTGACCTTCCTTTGAGTGACCGAACCTATATCAAAATCCATTGATTACATTCAAGGCTGTTGCTCATCAATATCATCGTGTTTAATTAATATTTTCTGCATATACACGCCATTAAAACGGGCTAACTAATACTAACTTGCATAATTCAGTATATACAGAATTCCGCTCTCTGAGTCTTTCGCCAGTTCTTCTCAGGTCTGAGGCTTTTTCTTCCCGAATAACTGGTAGTAGGCTCATGACGTTAAGTAATAAATTCTAATAATTTAATGCTGAATAAATTATATTGAATTTAGAATTTTTTTGAAATCCAAATAATTAACATAATATCTACCTACATACAAATTGAAATATACTCGTAGGTACCAATTAATGCCTTGTTGTGGCAAATGAATAAATAAATGTATGTAGGAAACTAAATTTCACATGGGGGTATTTCATATTCATTTTAATTTCGTACTTATTAGTTGTACTCGTATAAATAACTTCTACCATTTTACAATGGAATAGATTTTTGTGAGATCATTTTATTAAACAACAAAAATAATCAAAATATTTACGCGGCAAGGAAAGTAGATCATAGCTGTGTGACTAATATATATTTTTTATTATAATAATTTAGTTTTTAAAGCATATATTAAGCATATAGTACAAATACATATATAAGGAGGTTTGGAATAATGAAACGAATGAAGCTCTGCGATATTTTATCGGTCATTCCTGATTCACAACGACACTCTAAAACCAACAAAAAACGCAGTCAAAACAAAAGTAATTCATCTTATTTTTCTTTTTATTTCGGTCAATATCGTATTATTGGAACAGATATTTAATTTTACATCATTTTTAATTTTTACCATATACGTACAATGTACATAGATTTAGAATAATATAATATTAATAATCATAGTACTCAATCTTTGTACATGATGAAGGAACTATTAAACAATCAGATCATTAAAAACGTTTTATAACTTTTGTAAACACAAAGAAGCAGGTTGACTTGCGCACTTGGCCTTTAGGTATCAATCGCTAATTACGTTGGCAACTGTGTGGAACCACTAACTCATTTTCATAGCGAAGCGTGTCATGTCTAACGGCTCGTTTCTGATTATCTAAATGTCCATTTACATTTGTTTCCTTTGTTTTGAGATACTATTGGCCGATTTCACCAACGTCACCTAAGTTTAAGGGATCCACCGACAATTAGGGGTCACCTAATTGTTAAAATGCCACCTAAATATAGGTACTAAAAATACAGGATCTGACGATGGTAAAACGAAATTTAATTTAGGGGCTAGTTTAGGGGATCCTTTAAGCTAGGGATCCCATACGTAGGTGGTAGCTTATGGGATGTTGGTGAAATCGGGCATATGAATGTTTATTTTTATTAGTATGTAGGTAGTCTTGGCCAAAACATTTTACATATAAGCAGTACATTTCAAAATCTTCTTGTATCTTAGTATGTACTAATTTCAACATGTCTACTAAACGATGGACAATGAAATGATCTATCTATTACGTCTATAGATAGGAGTAACTGATCCGAAAGCGAATCGGATTTGCTATCCATATACTTTGTAAGTGTATTTACTGCAAATTGTTTCCTTATTTCAAACAAAAACTAGGAAGTGTTCGAAGCCTAGACCATGTACTGCTATAAAGCCATGAAAGAATAGGCTATACAAATAAGTACCGTAATTTTCATATTGTAGATATTCTTATGTTGTAAACAAAATATGATATAATTTAATATTTTTACCCGCTTTTCTTATATTTTTATCTCGCTTCCTAGCGTTTTACCCTTGCTTCGCTCGGGTGGGTCCGTAAGTACGTTTTAATTTTTTGAGTGGAACCCTAATTCTTTTTCTAAAATAAAAGAAACATAAGTTACTCCTTATAACATCAGCTATCTGCCAGTGAAAGTCCCGTCAAAATCAGTCCAGCCGTTTTGGAAATTAACCGGAACAGATAGACAGATAAATATTTTAAAAATTGTGTTTTTCTTATAAGTACTGTATATAATTTCATATGTATTTGATAAAAAGCTGTTATTTTGACATTACAAACAGACACTTCAATTATATTAATCTGTATAGTATTTATCTGTATAGATCACATGTGAAGCTTTTACTGTAAAGCTTTTGCACGTACAGCTGACAAAAGTTTATATACGATTGTCCATACAAATATTAAGCTCTTACGAGAACTCACAAAAGTTATGGTAGCTCGTTGATAACTCTTACATTTTCATGTGCAAATCATTATCATAACAATAATTTCATACTAATACGGTGAAATGAAACATCGTGAGGAAAACATCATGTCTGACAGAAACTAACTAGTTTTCGAAAGACGTGAGAAGTCCTCCAACCAGTTCTTTGTAGAGTACGTCCTGATTTGATGTTTTTTCAAGTCTCGCTTCTAAAAAAGCCTTGATTGTATATGAGTACCTACTTAGGCGAATATGCTATTATTATGCGTAACTTATATATGAGATAGAATACACATTATATTGGTGGTTGTATGGAGTGAATAGCGTAATACATATTTTGGGTGGATGTATTTAAATGTACCTTTTTATTGGTAACTAGCGATTCACCCTCGCTTCGCTCGGGTTCATCTCTAGAATAAATAAATACCTAATGCAAGAGAACTACGTAAACACATTGTTTAACAGTAAATTATAAATTCTACTTTTATCGACTCACCCTTGCTTCCCTCGGGACACTATGTACGTTTTAACGGTTAGTATCCGCTCCCTAGGGTAGTAGCATGATGATATATAGCCTTTCTCAATAAACGGACTACCTAATGCAAACAGAATTTTTCAAATCGGATAGGAAAGGTAGTTCTTGAGATTAGCGCGTTCAAACGAACAAACAAACTCTGCCTCTTTATAATATTAGTATAGATTCTATTTCGATTTTAATAATTTGCACTATGTTTCTATTCAATCATCTAATCAAGTGCGTATTAATTTTAAACCATTATTTTTTTTACTAATTATTGGTGTAGGTATATTATTAGGTGATGGGATATCTGTTTATTTATTTATTTGGATTTTAAGTGGATATATTCGGACATTTATATAGTCTATACTAATATTATAAAGAGATAAAGTTTGTGGGTTTGTGACGATGTAGGGGGTAATCTCTGGAACTACACTGAACCGTTTTAGATGAAATTTGGCAAGAAGATAATTTGAGCCCTGGGAAGGACATAGGATAATTTTTATTCCGGAAATCATCCCTTAAGGGGGTGAAAATGGGGATTAAAGTCTGTATTGGGAAGCAAGCTAGGGACGAACCCGAGCGAAGCGAGATGAGTCGCTAGTATATTATAAACTCAATATAAAATGTTTGAATATCTGGAAATCTTACAGCCACACGCGCCAGTTTAAGCGGAGGCGCAGTTTCGTCAACCCACACATTTAACTAGCGTTCATTGAGGTCAATATTTGAATCTAGGATAACCGAGAGTACTATTGTTCACAGAATAGCAAAGAACAAAACGATGGCACCCGGGAGAAGTTTAAGGATTTTACCTTCGACCACTCCTACTGGTCGTTCGACAGTGCTGACAAACAATATGCGGCTCAGGACCAAGTAAGGAACCTATTTATTTTTTTATAAATGAATTCTGTCATATAATGTCTAGGTGAGATGCGAACGCAGCCGACGTTTTGTTTTAATTTCATTTAGGAAACAAATACTTAGTGCAGCAGGCACACTTATTTAGTAATCCATACTTCCATATATAATATTATCAATGTGAAAGTGTGTCTGTTTGCTTTTCCTTCTTTCACGTCGAAACGGATTGACGAATTGGCGTGATAGTTGGAAGGCTGGAGAGTGACATAGGCTGCTTCTTTATGCCGCGGGAGATTTGATTGATTACTGAGTTACAATACAACCCAAAAAATATTCGTGAGATTTTTTGAGATTTTTTTTGTAGTTTTAGCGCAAGAGAAGACGCGGGTTCTGTTAGTTACAGCTATAAACTAAGGGACTTCATGACATTGACAAAAAAAATGTTTGAATATATAGGTTTTATATTATAATATTTTCGAATTTTGACATTTTAAACAAAAGTACCTTTCCAGTTTTTGGGCAGGTTTATTTTTCCTTTTTAATCTCTGTAAAATAAAACCGCGAAAAAATCTGGTTTTATTTACGAAATGTTGTTTAGTTTTTTTTTAACTTAATATATTAAGTGTTCTACATTATAATATTATGTTACATAGTGAAGAATCAAGAAAAAGAACAACCAATAATATTGATTGTAGTAAAACTTGATATAAGGTTGCGTAAAGTATGCATAAATTATATATTCTTTACACATCGATATCATTGCGGAATCTTTTTTCTTTTTAATTTATAATTATAACGGACACTTATTTAATAAATTAAAAATGATTTATTAAATGTGTGTGCCAGTAAAGAAATTATGAAGTTAGCCTTGGGACTTAGGACGTCGGACATTCAGCCAAATTAGGTGGCTTGAGTCGATTTTTACTAACAAAAAAACGTGTGATATGGAAATGTGATACTCTTAAAAGAAGTGCATGTAGGTACAAAGTTAAAAATACATCTTACGCCATCAGCCGAAGTTTTAGTCATTTGGTTTGTTATTCCGACGAATGTAGCTTTAAACTTGAAATGTCTCGAGTTATACCTATACATATTTAGTACAGCGTTGCTATCAGCGGGGTGGAGGACTTTTCTTTTTTTGGAAACCTTTTTCTTAGGTCTCCTGTACTTTAAATATCTACTGTGTATTTTTTTATTTGAGCTCTTCATAGTACTGAAATGCGTTTTATTTCTAGCATCAAAGAGCAATAATATTAAAGTTCAAAAAAGCAGAAGGTTAGCTTACATATGTACTTATAGACTGTTACCTTTTTTATCGCCGTTGAAGTAAGGCATTCATAATTTATAAAGTTATACTTTTTGGGTGGTTAACCTTGTATACACTAGAAAAAAAGCGCTAAAAGTACAAGCTTTTATTAAACTTGTAATAAACATTTCATAGTTTTTTTTGATAACTACCTCGGTGGTGTAGTGGCTAGCATGTACGGCTGCACACTGGGAGGTCCTGGGTTCGAGTCCCGGGTTGGGCCAAGTTTAGTTATTGAGTCTTTCTGTATAGTAAGTCTCAGTAACAGCCCGGAGTTGGGAAGTTGGCGGTGTTTCACCCCCGTGCCTCGGAGAGCACGTAAAGCCGTGGGTCCTGCGCCGACACTCTCACTGGTTGTGTCTCGTGTCGTCCCACCGGAGTATGAGAGTGACAGGAATAGAGAGTGCACGTTGTGTCTGCGCGTACACTTGAGCACTATAATATCTCCTGCGCAGTTTGCTAGTCTCAATGAGATTAGCTGCCGTAGCCGGAATCGGCTATATACATCATATCAGTTTTTTTTGATACAAACGTATCTACATAATACGTTTTTTGGGTCTTGCAACTAAATTTAAAAGCAGCTATCCTCAGCCGATTGAGATGAAATTTTGCATATGGATGGATGACAATGCATGGTTAGCTTATGTGACGACATTCTAAATTCAATATGGCGGACTCCCAAAGATGGCGGAAAATATATTTTTTATGCACTCCCATGATATGAATATTAAACATAAAATGCTAAGAAATATTTACGCTAAATATGTTTAATATACTACACTTTACAGTTTACACACATATATACATTACTTTGTATATATTACAATTAAATAATCGACTGTTTCGTCAGACCCCATACTAATTAGTCTAGGCGATAGAGTAGTCATTAATTTAATATTCAAAAACATTTTTAAAAACAAGCTTTTAAGTATATCACAGAAATTTAATATAAAAATAAATTAATATAATATATAATAATTAATTAAATTGTAATAAAATGGGTTTGATTTAATTTAAAGTTAGATTTTTAGTTATTTATTTGTATTCCTCTTATCATTTTATTTCTTCGTGTCTGATATATATAAGATTTTAGTTTTAATACGTAGATCGTAATACTATACAAATGATAATAGCTAGTTTAACGTTTAAGACGTATCTACAATATTATAATAGCGATTGTGTCTGACACGACTTACGAGGACGCGAACACGTGTTAATTTGTATGTATAATACGTATATCATAATGCCATGATACTTTCTAGTCTATACATATAATAAAATTGTAACTAAGCCGAATCTGTATATTAAATATTTTTTGGGAAATCTTATTGAAATAGACATTAATATCGGTACAGAGGCCGAATCTATAGTTTTTAGAATTTTTGTCTGTCTGTCTGTCTGTTACCGCATCACGGAAAAACCACTGGAGGGATTTTGATGAAATTTGGTATGGTGATAGCTGGTTATCCGGATCAACATATAGGATACTTTTTACCACGGGAAAATATGTCATTTCTGAGAAAAAAATACAAAAAATGCAATGTAAGAGTATACTAATATGTAAAACCTAAGAACTTGGTTTTTGGTCATCTGAATGCGGGCGGAGCCGCGGGCAATGCTAGTAATATTATAATTTATCAAATATGGTATATACATATTTCATCTTTATAGTACGTGGGACATGTCTTAAAATTATATGCTTTTAACGTCTTTTTATTGTAAAAGAGTGATAAATGTATGTGAGGCAATGTTGACTTCATCTTGAATTCCTATGACATCAGTAGGCCCATAGTTCTACTGGCCATTTATTTCAGAATATTTTTGAAAATATAGGATTACTCGTACTAGAAAACAGTCGAAAAACGATCATAAAATACAGTAGCTACACGTTTATAAAATGTTATTCTAAAAATGAACGAGATCGCTACCTTTTTGTAATTAAACTGCAAATCACCGTTAATACAGTTTACTTATAACGGGTTTGTTGTTACGTGATCGAGAGATTCAGGCTTTTAATGAGTTGATGAAGATGTATATAGAGCCTATTACGCTAATATTAAAAATGCGAAACTTTGTATGTATGAATGATTGTTGTTTCTTCATACTAACAAGGCTGGATCGATTTGGATTAATTTTAGTAGTTCGTATACACAGATACACTATGACATATACATACATAGGTAATTATTAGCATTACTGTATATAATATATTAGTAAAGCAAATATGGGGTTTAGTCAGGCGCGGCATATTAACATAAGGGGGGGAGGGGCTCGGGGGTGTTGTACGTTGCACTCTGTTGAGTACCACCACCATATATAGGTCCTCTGTATAATGTCCTTCGTTTAAATATTTTGATAAGTTAGAAATACTTGAAACCGTCAGATTAAGGTCTGGTGGTCTAATTACGTGCTGAAAAGTATGCAATTCAATAATCCGCCGATGCCGAAGTCCAATAAACGGGGGCGAAGTTAGGGTAAATCGAAACAGAAACACACAATAATTTTATATTGGAATCTTAAATGCACTAATTAATTATTATTAATCTATGTATATAAAACAGAGTCGGGTTAGTTACACCATTTATAACTTAAAAACGGCTTGACCGATTTTGATGATCTTTGATTTGTTGGATTTGTCTCCGCTCCAAATAGAAGAATAACTATTAAAACATCGGAAAGATGCACGAAAAAAAATGTCTAAATTTACATGGCTAACGCTTGCTAATAACTATTTATATCTATTTAAAACGTATCTAGGGACGAAGTAAGTGAGCCATCAGCCACTAGTCTATACTTACTTCTATACCTACTTCTATACTAATATTATAAAGATGTTAAGTTTGTGAGTTTGTAACGTTGTAGGAGCTAATATCTGGATCTACTGAACCGATTTAGATGAAATTTGGTAAGAAGAAAGTCGAGACCCTAGGAAGGACATAGAATACTTTTTATCCCGGAAATCATCCCTTAAGGGGGGTGAAAATGGCGATGAAAGTTTGTATGGGGAATCATAATAATTAGTTTATTCAATCTTAGTTCTTTTTATTTCGCTGTAAGATATCTTAATGTCTTAAAAAGGGGTTATTTCTATTGTCCCAGACAATGACTTAGCATATCGACTTCTCATATTATACAAAAATGAAAGTTACACTTTCACCTTAAATGATCAATTTAAACGTTTTTATTATGTTGTTATAACTGTTTTTATCGATCGATCATTCCATTGATGAATTGCTAACGGGTCCCGGGTTTGTCATAGAAAAAATTGACAAATATCTTTGTATGTGTGCGTTCCTTACATTTTAGATCTATGAAGACTCGTCCGGTCGGTAGACGTTAAATTGTATTTTTTTTAAATTAAAACTGTAGTATGAGAAGCCATTTTGCTCTATATTTACAAAATGGCTTTGAGTGTTTTATAAATTGCGGAATTGCTATATCTTTGTCTTTTTAAATATAAATATTTTGCTGTTTATTTATTTTGAAGTATTATTTTATTGTACAGATAGTACAGAATTGCCAAAAATACCAAATTTCATCAAAATTTGTCCAGTGGTCTTATCGTGATACGGTCAAAGACAGATTTTTTTTTAAAAACTATAATAGATTCGACCTCTATATCGATAATAATGACTATTCCGACTAGATTTTCCAAAAAAATATTTAATGTACAGATTCAACTCAGTTAAAATTTTATTATATGTATGTG